TATATATATATATATATACCGACTTACTTATACATTATATTATATATAATGTATATAGATACATATATATATGTATATAAACATATATATATATATATATATATATATTATATACAAATATATCTGTACATATATATATGTAAATATATATATATATATATATAGATATATACAGATATATTTGTATATAATATATATGTATATATATATATATATATATAACACAACATCAACTACATTGTTGAAAATATGATGAAATGCCAATTGTATAGACGATGTTTGCTGCGCACACCAACAGCTGTTCAATTTTTAGGAGGCAACTAGCAGGAGAGAGTGCCGAAAAGGGCAGCGTTGAATGTAATGCACAATAAGCAAATTAGAACAAAAGAGTAGACCCACAAGCGCCGAGCAGCAAACATGTTCAAACACAAACTGACCTGTTACAGCGGCACTCCCCACTCCAGTGCCCGCGTGCGTGTATGCGTTCCCTTCTATTCGGCCGTAGGACAGGGTTTAGGGCTTGGGGTCTAGGGTTTAGGGTTTAGGATTTGACGTTAAGCGTCTGAGATGTGTGTTCTTGGGGTCTTAGGTGAAGCACATGAGCACAAGGGATCTGACATTTCAAGGCGTTGTCGTCCTCATCTTTATATCTCTCATCAACACAGCGGCCTGGCTGGGGTGTATGTTGGCGAGGTGCGGTCCCTTTGTTCTTGGAAACCCCCAAAGCCGAATACTTGGCTTATAGCGTAGTATTTTAAAAGCATTGGCTTGCTTACTTGCTGCTTGCGAAAGAAATCTGCTATCTGAGCCGTCATCCGCCCAATCACGTCGAGTACAGCAGGCGCTTACGGTTAAGATTTGTCTTTTTGTGGGCTGTTTTTTTGCGTACCCCTAGGGCTGTCTTTTTGACTATAATTGTGAATATTGGCCTCTACCAAAAGCAAAGCGTCTCCTCCTTGTTGACGACTGTCGACCCCGAGTTGGTGTATTTCCTCTGGAGTGTTGGCATGTACATCTTCTGGCAAAAGAACGTACGACCAGGTAAATACACCATAGAGCCTAGGTCCAAGGGCTAGCTTGCTCTGGCCTTTGTTGTTTCCAATGAGCTCGTCTGGAGGCAGAAATGTGCTGATATGTTCGTTATTTGTAGATGCGTTTGTCTTCGTGTCGCGAGGCGTTTTTGTGCTGGCATGCATGACTCATCTTTTCATTCTTGCTGCACTAGCACTAGTACTGCATGCGCGCTGAACCCTGGGTGCTCGTCTGGAGTTATCACTGTTTGTATCTTTGTCTGCAAGAGTGTTGGCTGCCTGTATTTCATTTGAAATAGCTTTTGTGTATTTTTTCATGAGTATGGATGTATTGCTGCGTCCTTTGTATACACCTACATGTAGACGGTAAATACAGTGATTATACAGAACATTACACGCACATAATCTATGATTGTAATATTTCCTGTTTTTAACGGCATGTGCACATGTCCGCAGGAAAGCTTTTTTGTGTGAAAGAGATCGATGCGTCGAAGTCTACGATTCAGTTGTTCGACACGTCCTTATTTGGACAATCTTTGTTTGTTTTGCCCTCCATAGCTAAATGCCAGGGGGCCCTCAGCCTTGTAATTATCCTTCTCGCAGCCCGGCGGCTCGTGCAAAGCGTTATGATTTTTTACTTCGAGTTGGGGTTTATGGCCAGCATGAGTGGCCAAGTCGTCAAATACCTCACCAAATACGCAGCGCTAAGAAAACTCAATACCAAATGGTAATCCAGTAACAACGCTTGCCTTTGATATGTTGCTGGTGCTGCTATTCAAGCAGAATTTGCAGATGCTGCGCTGCAAATTTTTTTTTTATTTCGTGCACGTGCCCTGTTCGCACTCGCACTTGCTGTTGTTGATTGAGGTACTTCTTCTGCTGCTGCCCCTGCTTCTGCCGCTGCTGTCGAAGTTGAAGCCCTTTCATACTCGGAGTGCGTTTCTAGCGTGAGAATATGTTTTGCGGTTTTGCGCTTGCAGGGCTGCCTACCACCTGTGTAGGGACACAATATCTCAAGCTTCGTGCGACGGCACGAGCCAAGACGACGAAGACAGAATGGACGGTGCGGGCGGCCTCAGATGTCCAGAGTTGAGGAGAGGGAGAAGCACCATCTCTGTCACGTCCAGGGCTTCGCGGTTCTCACGGCATCCGTCTTTGAGAGTTCCCACTCGGGCCCTTCCTTCTCTTGTTCTCGACAAGCCGTAAGGCGTCTTTCTGCAATAATCAGTTTTCACATCCCACGCTTAAATGTTTATTTGGGCGAGGAATCTTCTGTTGTTGTCTCTGCTCGCTTCCCTGTTTTGGCTTCGATTTCCATGCATGCTCTCATCTGGTCATTGTTTTTGTTTGTCGCACTGGTTCCATTGTTTTTCATCTGCGTAATTCTCCTATTTGATTGCTGTTTGTTTATTTAAGTTGTTCATTTTGTTCGTCTTTCGCTGTTCGCGCAAGTATGGGCCGGCTGCACAGTTCAAAGGAAAATAATGACAAAATTGCCATTAGACAAATGCTTATCCCATCAATATTAGCAACACCAAAACCATCGGCGTTGTTGGACCAAGAATTACTGCATGAGCAGTACTGACAACAATAGGGATACAGTCAAAGCCGTAGTAACAGCAGAAATGACGAGCAAAGCAGTTGAGATGACACTAATGGCAAACCGAAACAACGCATACACACACCACAATACCAACAACGCTCGGCATCACAACGCTAACAACAATGGGAGCAGCCACTTAGAACCCCTTCTGCCTAGCTCCCGCTGTGGGTCGCCAGCCTCCCAGTGTTTGCTGTGAGGGCCCTTTTATGATGATCCGGATTGTTTATTGTTTTTCTGTATTGCAGGGAGCTTCCACCCCCTCCGTGCTCAGCTGAAGTGGGGAAGGCAAACATCAGCAGGTGCAAGCATATTGGTGGACGCTTTGTTGACCGCACTGTCCGCATAAATTATTTTCGTTTTCGCTTCCAGGAAAACAAAAATATACAAAGTCGAGAACTCAGGGGGCAAGGTCTGTATATCTTTGACTGCTCGTTTTTGTGTGATTTTGCTTGCGTCTGTCTTTGCTTTTGTTTGCCTTCATGATTGCTTTTCTCCTTCTCGCCATTCCTGCGTCGGTGAGGGCAGTTTGCTGCATGCCATATGCGTTGCTTCTTGACGTTTCCCTCCACTTTCGTTTGTCTGTGTTTCTGTCTGGTCCAGTACGTGCATCTACTTGTGTTTGCACTCGTGTGCCCTGTTGTACCGCTCTCTCTGTACGCTTGTCTCTTGTGTTCGTCTGTATCCTTATTAGCAGCACGTTGCTCTACATAATATCTTTGTCTACTTTTTTTGCTGCGTGTTTCTGTGTGCCTGTGCCTGCGTGGCCTTCTGCTTGCCTTTCGTCTATGTGTACCCAGCGTGCTGGCGCATGTATTGGCGTTTGCTTGTGTCGCTTCAGGCCTGCCGAGTCAGCTGACACGGTCCTCCATAGAACGCTGTAAGCATAGCCGCATCCACCACTGGCTGCTGCTTCAGTATGTCGCCGTCTTCCCGCCTGCCGTCTTCCTGCAGGGACAGCGCATTGAGCTGGACTCGAAGGCGAAGGCTCGTGAGGTCTCCGAGCGTCTCTTCTACGCCCTCGCGAAGGACGCTTCAGAATTAGCAGCAACAGAACAGCAGGTCTGTAGAGACTCTCCCTCCAGCCTCAAGCCCAAGGGAGCACCTTTCCTTAATGAGTTTCCTCCGAGCCATAGACAACAACAAAATGAACAAGAAAGGTCAGTCACGTGGCTGGGCAGCCCAGAGCTTCAGAAAGTCGTTACTATTGACCCCACAGAGGAGGTCAGTCGACCCACAGCAACGGCAGCAGCTGCAGCAGCAAGAACCGCTGTTACATCAACTGTTGCAACAAATTCTGCAGCAGCAACAGCGGCAACTGCAACTCCGCAAGGGGCGACAAACTCTGCAGGAGCCTCTGCACCGCTGCCCAACAACAGCACTGCCTCAACAGATCCAGCTGGGGAGGGGGAGTGCAACACCAGGGTCAATTCATCTTCTCCCCCTTCTGTCTCCTTGCAAGCCTCCTTGCATGGAGACTCATCGTCTGAAGGCGAAGGGCTTTGTCCCCAAAGCGAGGCCTCTGCTTCCGTCTCTGAGGCTGCCTCCGTCGGCTCCGCGCACAACGACAGACTTAGGCGCTCGGGCAAGCGAATTGCCGAGATTCTCGGCTCCTCTGCTGCTTCTTCTGCTGCTCCTGCTTCACTTGCTGCTCCTGCGGGGAGCAATGGCAGCAGCAGCAGAATACGCGGCAGCCGCAAAAGCCCCGTCCCTGAGTGTACAGAACAAGCGGAAGGAGCACAGGGAGATACGACAGCTAATCGCAGTGCAGAGGTTTCCGACACCAGGGTAGCCAATGTTGGTAGGCGCAAACAGCCTGAGTAGCTTAAGCAGTATAGTTTTGCTAGCCAACGATGGAACCCTAGTAGACGCACACAAAAAGAGGGTGCCCGTGATGAGTTGGCTTGGTCTTTTTTTTTATTTATGGGCAGTTCAAGTGTATAGATACGCTTATGCGCGAAGTTGTATTAGTTTTGCCGTAATAGTTGCGCTTCAGGTGGAGACTTCAGGTGAGCATACACGCATGGGGATATTTGTCCGTTTTGTGCCGCTTTAATTCTGTTCATACCCGCAGAGGCTGCACGGCGACTGAACACACAGCACATTTCAACCTTGACATCATTTAATATTGCAATCAGGGCTCCTTCGCTAGACAGGGAGAACAGTGAAAGTCCTCAGGCGAGTGATTTGGTTACCGGTCTGCCTCTCTGATCCTGAGTTTGCTGCCCATACAAAGACCTTGCTTCGCTGACGAAGGGGCCGGGGACCTGCAAGTTTCAGTGCCATGCTGCCGCTATTTCCGCTTATTGCGCTGGTTATGTTCGTTGCATTTACCCTATGTATCCCATTTACTAACGTTTTCCTTCTCATGTTTTTACACTGTTTATGACAAACGGTTCCTTTAGCTTTGCTTATCTTCTGTCCGGCTCCGTGCTTTTCTTTTTCAGGGCCGCACGTTCGAGGAAGACACGCAGCAAGGTGTCCCGCTTCCCCCGGAGAGTACAGGTGCTGCAGAAGCTTCCACGAGGCCCATTGCACGCTTCGCCTCCGGGCAACTCGCCCAGTGCCCACAGGACTTAGGTGCATCTGCATCTGCCTCCCTCGGCTCACGCGATCGAGAAAGAAGACGCACGGTGGACAAAAAGCCCAAGGAAGACGTTGAGATGGCTTCCCGTGCACCGATATCACAGCCGCCAGTGCAGACTGCAGCCCACAGAGTCAACAGCGCAACAGCAGTTGAAGGTGATTCGGGCGTCAACGAGTTATGGAGAATGTCCTGTCCTTCGGCGCCTCCCCACCAGCGAAGCTTTAGTCTAGAAAGTGGGCCTTCGTTTAGTTCTTCCTCTCCAGATGAAGATTCGATGAAAGAAGACAGATGCACAGAGACAAGGCAACCAAGCAAAGGGGATTCGGAGGCAGGGGGACCACAAGACGACAGGCCGAAAGTGACTTCAGAGATTCTGGGAGCTGTAAACACCACCAGTTCTTCTTTCTTTGACGACTACTCTGTCAGCTGCTTCTTCTCGAAGACCTCCCCCAGCGCCTCCGACTTTCATTTCGCAGCGGCATCAACCTGCAGCGGAGATCGAGCTGGGCATACGGGGGCCTCCCGGCGTCTCCTCGACCCCAGCAGTGCTGGAGAAGAGGAGTATTTCCCTGTTAGAAGGAGACGCCGCTCCGTCAAGCGAAATGTGCCCGAGTACTTCACCAGGTCATTCGTTGAAATGTTCCTCAAAGAAGACGAAGTCGAGGAGTTCATGAAGCTCGTTGACCTAGCAGGTACAAAGTGCAAGCAAAAGCACTTGCGGCCTATACGCCTCATCGGCATGATGGCCCGTTAAGGTCTTTCACGCCCGTTTGCTTTTGTACCAGCTTAGGCATGTGTGGGGCCAAGGCCCCCAGCGCCAGCCTGGGCCGCGCAGGCCCCGTATATCTTCCTTTTAGGGTCGTCTGTTAAGGTGGCTGTGTGTGCACAAAGTTCGATCCGAGATATTGGAGTGGCCGAGTAGTGCGAGGTCGGCGCCTGCTTTCTTGTTATTTTGGTCGTACGTTTCGGTGCAGTTTGGTCGGGTAATTGCCTGTTTGATTGTTTGCCGGCGTCTTTTTATTCGCTTTTTTATTTCCTGAACTCCTACTTTGCCAATACTGTGCGTGAACTGTACTGCCTGCGCCTGTGTTGTGCAGGGCATGGAAAGATAAACCAGCCAATGTTTAAGAGGGCTGTCGTCTCCATCTACAAAATGCGAAAAGCCCTCCTTAAATCCCTCACGGTAATGCGTTGAAGATTATGGCCTTACTATGCCTCATCATTACGATCTAAAATGTTTATCAGCTTTGTCACGGTTTAGTTCAAGAGGGTATAAGGTTGCTCATTGTGACTTTGCCATGGATTACGGGTTAGGCGTCAGCGTGTATGCTGTGTGTGCTATGTTGTGATTTCTTGTGCAGAGTCAGGCGAGCATTTGCAAAACAGTGAGGCGGATGATTTCAGTGGTCTTGTGGGTGGCAACCCTTGTTGCGATGTTGTTGGTATTTGGCGTCAACCTGAACACCGTCCTGGTCTCCGGCGCCGCTTCTATTTCCGCCCTGGTCGTCGCGCTCAGTCAGTGGTTCACGACACCATACGTGTCGGAGTTCACTTGAGGCTTTCTAAATTGTTTAGGCCTTCCTGAATTATATTGGTGCCGTTGGAGCTCACGAGAGTATACTGGGCTCAGTTAGGGCACATGCGGTTTTATTTGGGTTTCTTTCGCTCACGCTGGCTTCTTTGTATCCATTCTAGTGTAGCAAATTTTACGCGTCGCTGGAGATACGAAACAAGACGGCAGCAAAGGCTGCTCTGCATGCGTAAAGCGTTATTTCGTCCCTTCCCCTAGTCACCCACCCTTCAGCTGTCTTGAGGCGGCATAATAGGACTTAGGATTGAGGGTTTACGGTTCGCTGGGGCTTCACCCTTTAGGTCCTAGCAGCTAGAACTTGATGCGCTCGAATGTCAAGCCGGCCTCTTGTGTTCTTCGCTGCGTCTGCTTCGTGTATCCGTTGAGTTACGGGTTTACGGGCAGTGCCAAGCACACAAAGTTTCTGGGTTGAGTTCGTCGGTGGAGTTCGTAAATTTGGCGTTGTCTAGAGCAAAACGCTGCGAATGTCTTCGCTTCTCTTCTTTCCCTTGTGCTTTCCTGTGCTTCACGTGTTACGGCTTGCATGTGTTTTGCTGTTTTAGGCTACATTTATCAGAACTTCATTACTGCTGTAATTTTTGTGGCGTTCACGAACCCGTACAATGTCGGCGACAGGGTGCGCATAGACAACGGAGAGGCTATGTACGTCCGCAATATCCACACCTACACCACCGAGTTCGTCACGATCCATTCAAAACCGGTAAGGGCTCCAGTTATCTTCTATCCCTGTTGGGTTATTGCATGCAGACACTTAAGTGCAGGCAGGAAATAATCCTGGCTGGTAGTGGGAGTCAAGAGGTAGTTGATACCTTCCCGGTGGCAAGTTGGAAGCAAAGCTGGGCATAGACACTGAAAAAAGCAGAATTTTGCTGTTGAATCCATTCCCAACACGTCTGGGGAAATACTGACAAACTAAAGGGTGCAGTTCAATGTGTTTTGGGGTTCTGCAGATAGTGTATAGCAACAGCGTGCTGTTTGGTCGACAGTTGACGAACGAGTCTCGAGCTACAAACGCCACGTTCTCAATGCCGATGCGCCTCGACATCCGCACGCAGCTCCAGTCCCTGCGCTTCTTAGAGGCGGGGATGCGCAGGGCCATCGCTGCCCGACCCATGGATTTTGTTAAGGACTCCTTCAGCATCTACATCACAGATGTGCAACCAGGACGATGGATGGATGTTAGTAGTTCCCCTTTAACTGTATCTACATTGTTGCGATGAACCCGATTCCATTAGTACTGAATTTTTACTACACTTTAACGCCTTGGCTGTGTGGCGCAAGGCCGCTGTCATGATTCTAAGCGTGGCCTTTGAGGTATTTGCATTGATGAAGCAGCATATCAGATAAAGTTTACATGTTAACTTGATCTGGCTAGCCGGCATCTGCAACTAAATGCATTTTTGTATAGGGCATGCGCTTTGCTGCACTAACGTTTGTGCCTGCGCTTTTGTATGTTCGTTTGTTTGCAGATAACTGTTTGGCTCAGCGCAGTTGAAGGGTGGGGTAACGCTCCCAAAGTGTTGCGGCTGCGAACGGACATGTATCTCGTCCTGCAGCGCCTGTGCCTCCGCTTCGGAATATCTTACCAAGAACCGCTTCTGCCTGTACAACTCAACGCCTCTCCGCCTGCAACAGCATCTGCTGCTGCAACTGCGATCTCCAATACTCCGGCACAGCAAACAGTGGCACCGCTTCACCGTAAGATGCACCTGCTCCTGTTTCCCCGTTTTCGTTGACTTTATTATTCAATTATAAACACCTGTGGTTTTTCCCCTAGAATCCGTTTTATACTGCCTCGCACACTCGACCTCTTGCGCAGGCAGCCTGTAAACCTTCGGATGCTATAGACTATTGTCCCCGTGTGAGGTAATATTTAAGTTTCCTGAAGTGTGTTTGGTTTGAGGCATGCTGATTGATTAATTTGCATTCATTAGATGGGGATCACTTCCAATGGAGACAATGCGGGCAGCTGCTTGCTTGCTGCTGTTTGGGAATTTTGCTGACACATTTCGAGGAAGTAGGATATATACCTATTTCCTCTATATTTGTCTGTGCAAGTGGTGTCATTCTCTGTATCCAAATCGCAAACGAGGGATAGTTATTCAAGCATGCACAGGTTGTTCGGAAATTGCTTGCAGACTTTCACTCGTCAACATCTCACGGGGCAGCGGCAGAAGATGCGTATGGAGCTTTTCTAAATTCGGAGAGCTGGGAGCAGTTCGATGGCCACTACAGAGATATCCCCCAACGCAAAAGCGGCATGCCGCTACAGGACCTAAGGTGCGAGCCTTCTGAATTCGGCGAACTGGTACCCCCAGGTCCTTTCCCTGGTGCATCTCGGGGGGTTTCAGGAGGGCAAGTGAAGCGGAGGCGCCCAAATTCAGCCCACAATACCAGCCCAGTTAGCTGCAGCAAAGCGTCAACCACAACCTGCAATAGCTGGCGCCAAGAGGAGAAATACGGCACACGTTGGAGGTTTGAGGAGACCTCGAGGTGCCATCATGGGTTTCACAAAGCAGGTCATGTGTTTGCATCTACTTCAAGCATGGCTTCTGCAAGATACATTGCGCCTTCGAACTGTAAGGACACAGAGACAGAGACAGAGACAGAGATGGAGACAGAAATAGAGAGAAGGCAATATTCCTGGGCTGCAGATGAACCGCTACAAAGCTGTCTCAACGGTCACTCCTGCGTCGCTTTCCCACCTGTTAAGGAGGGGGCGGCGGCTGAGGGTTGGCAGCCACACCCAATGCCACCATATTTACCGAAACAGGTGAACACAGCTGTACAGGGAAATGCACTGCCGAGAAGACGACGCCGCGTGTCAATGCTGCAAGAAGGCCTCGCAGCGTCGCGTTAAGGGGAATGAGGGAATTCGAAGGATAAATCCCCTTCCCCGCAATCATCTGTGGCATGTGCCCAAAATGCACAACTGCGTGCATTCGTCGATGCCCACTCGCATTTGTTCGCTCATTTTCCAAGGCGATAGAGTGGTTTAGTGTCTGCAGAACGGCTGTAGTTGTGCGGCCACTTGAGCTTATAGCATTGTATTGGTCATAGGGAGCTGGTGCCGACCATTTACAGTTCAGTAGAGCCGGCCCTAGAGAAAATGCATTTGTGGTCTATATCATTCTTAGTAATGAGCTCTGCGTTCCCACAGACAAACTTTGAGTGGTCAGGAGAGTGTTTGCATCGTCGCGATTGTTTAAAATGGTCACTTTCGTTCAGTTAATGCGAACATGGGCCTGGCTGGGCGGTGCGGTGCACGACTGCGGCTGAGCTGCCTTTACACGTCTTGTTTGCGTCAAGGCCAAAGGCCATGTACGCTCCGCTAACTGTTAGAGGAGAGCTCAGCAGATCGAAGCTAGCAGACTGTATCTCCTGCTTATTCCCACAAAAACAAAAATGAGTAGGTGAATTAGTGGTCAGCTGCAAAGCCGTTGCAAGCATTTCAGGAGCCCGTCTGCAACGGCTTTGCTTACATTGCAACTTCTGAGTATATTTAAGGTTAGGGTTTAGAGCTCGATGTTCAGGTCAGAGAGCGGTAATTGTTTTTTGGTTAGATTGTCGGATCTAAATGTCATCCGTGGGTGGATGAGACATGCGAGTGATCTGCTGTGCGCTGGCCCTTAGTCGCTCTACAAGGGGTAGAGTTTGCCCAAGATAATAGATTAAATATGCAATAGTTGTGCATTGCTTAGATTTGTGTCTACTGAAAAGTTCATGATAACGTTGAAGATTCACTAAATGCACCGTCGACACTGCATGTGTACACGGGATAAGAACCTACTACCAAGGGAGCTTAAAACCCTATTCTGATGCAAATAGGAGGGGCTGAGTAACGGCAGAGGCCATACTACAGCAGCGTGCACGTGAGGAAGAGGCGAAGGGAAGACACTCCTTAGAAATACGGTGTACGGGAACAGTAGGCCTATATACACTGGTTTCAAACCTTCCAGTGGCAGTCCCCACGCGCACCAACCTTATTTCCATGTAGTTTGTTCACCGCAGTCGCAGTTCATAGTGCTCTATCGTAGATTTGTTGTGTAACTAGCAGTTCGAGTTGTGCATGAGTTGCATATTCCACTCTGGAAAACTTTGGGGTCACAACGGCCAGGTGGAGCCTAACTTAGAAGCGGAAGGACTGAATCCTTCCCTCTTGAAATTCGCTGTAGTCGTTTTCGCCAGCATATTGCACTCTCAAGCGTGCCTGTTTCGGTGTTGGTTATTGAATTCCTTTTGAGAAATTGTGCGCGTTGAATTTTCGTGTCCAACGTGGGATCTTGAGTGCGAACATATTTTTTTACAGTGATTCTTAAAGGGAGTGACTGGATACTAAAGAGGAATGACTAATGTGCACTTGCAAATGCGTTGACAGGTAGATTCGGTGTTGCTTAGTTGCAGAGTGCAATCAGGAAGCGCAGCCACAGCGAAAGACGTATGTGCAGTCAGAATGAAACGCAATATACACTAAAACCTACCTGTAACACGAAAAAAATAAGGTTGACAATTTTTAAATATTCAAGGTGCTTCAACCTGAAAAAGCAATACTACAAGGTCAGCTGATGGTCAGCCGAGGAGTGGACAGCTACCCAATATCCTTCAGTGGGGCTGGCCGAATGCGTTGCAGATGGTCCAGTGATGGCACACCCATGGACCTCGCTGTGTTTGTTTTCTATGCCATATAGAGATGCATTTCGCTACTGGTTTCCACGTAAAACGACGACCCAGTCTTCGTTTCCCGTGTTGTGCACGATCCGTGCAACAGTCGCCCGAGCAAAGGCAGGCGAGCCATTTTCGAATACTGGGGCATTTGAGAGTTACAGTGAAATTATCGTCAAAGCTCACACTCCCTTGATTCCCTCGCTTACAACGAAGTTAGCCCTTCACCTCGCATTCCCCCAAATCACTCGAAGAAGGAGGAAACGGTTGAGTCACTCCCCGATGACCGCTCGCCTAGTTGTTGTCCCCAATGCTCTGTTTGTCGTTATGGACTCCATCAGTACTACCCGTTTCAACAATAAAAAGGATGCTGGTATGGTGGGGAGGCGAATGGGTGAGAAACTCGGAGGACGTTGTTGTGTAAGCTTCGATTCATTAGTCCGTAGACCTTGCCTGGCGCGGTTTAGTGGGGTACAGTATACACTCAAATGCCTGCCCAGGCAAATTTACATATGACGTTAACGGCAATCTCTTTGGGTCATGTTTGCCATTATTGTGTGGCTGGCTCATCATACGGGGATTGTGCTGGAATCAGAGAACAAGACGAGTACAATGGTGACCCCAACCGGGCCGATGGCTACATTCTGTAGATCATCTCGGAGTAATTTTCTGAACCTGATCAAGTCCTTCACTATTACCTTGTATGCAACCTTCAGTCCACCAGGGCAGAAGCATGTCGAAGTTGGGGGCCATTTGCCCAAATGGTGACCGTCGTACGTAAGTACATGACTAGAGCACCTAGATGCGTTAGGGTCATTGTTCTGTTCCTGGCCGCCGTTCGCTGGCCGCTAGCCCCTCACATATGCGGCGTATATCCTCGTTTAAGGCTGCAGATTACTTACTCGGAAGCACCGAAGTCGAGTAGTGGGACGTGCAAGCATGAGCATCCACACCAACCCACGCTTATGGAACTCGGCAGTTCTTGTTTCAGCCTTGCTCCGTTTGCTATTTGGCAAGCGAACCCGTTCAGGATGGCGTAAGTTGCTCAGTGTGCCATGCGTTGGAACGGTGGGTAGGGATTGTTCCGCCAAATGACGGCGAAGCGTGGAGTGCATGACCACTTTGCAGCTGCGTCGATGTGCTCGTTGAGGATCACCCGAAGCGGTGTTGTAGGACGTGGAAAGGGCGCGTTAGGCAGAACAAGTACCTTGTTGTGTTCTCTGGGAAGCGGCGGAGCTGTTTGGGAATGGCCAGGTATACCGTGGAGAGTAAGCGGCATGTGAGGTAGGGTAGATGCGGAGTTGAATGAAATGAGCTTTTGTGTGCTTCTGTGTGCCTGGAGGAGGTTTGGGAATAGTGCATGAAGTGTAACTTCTGTGTATTGACAGGTGAATGAACGTATTGCGTCTGGATCATTGCATCCGTTGAGCGCTTGTGACGTTGATGTGGCGCGTGGAAAACGGGAGAGTGGGGGAGTGTGTGTCGTGTTGCCTTGCCCGGCAGGTGGAGCGGTTGTTTGGGAAGCGGTGGGAATGGCGTGAAGAGCAAGTGGTAGGCGGCAAAAGGGCGGTGTTTACGGGTGACGATGCAGTACTCATGCGCGTGCACTGTGTGGAGAGTGCTTTGGGATAAAGTGCGGCGTTTGAGGTGACAAGAGAGGTGAACCGGTGGGTTGCGCCGAACGCAGGAGAAAGGCATGCGTGAACGCTTGTGGGCTGCATCAATACTTTGTTGGGTAACATTTGTGGAGATGGTGTGGTACGTGGGAAGATCGGGGTGGGGAATGGTGGGTTTTGGGTTGGGCTGTCCGGCAAGTGGCGACGGTATTTGAGTAGGGCGGGGAATGGCGTCGACACTAAGTGGTGTGTATGCGCTGCGAGGGTGCTTATCTCCACAATACGTTCCCGTGACAGCAAGGAAAAAATGCTGTTCGCCGGTGCTTCCCCTGTTGCGGCACCATGCTTTGCGTTTGTATAGTGGCCTGCCTAGTGTGTTTAGTGGTAAGACAACGTCTCCATCTGATCGGTATGTGAGAGCTGCTGCGCATTCAAGCATGCCGGCTGGTTTAACCATTCGCGCGAATATCTAGTGGCAATTACTCTGCTCCACCAAAGCGCCCGACCTCGAGGTAACGGTGACAGTCGGCCACTAGCCTTATCTAGGACGTGGTGTTGGAAAAGGAATGCGCAAGATTCGACCTAATGGAGCAGCTTTCTGGCCTATGCCAAGCTCTTGGCTGGCGATGTGCCTATAGCCTTGCCACAGCGGCCGTGTGGTGGCTTCTCGGTGCGCCTAAGTGTTTGGTTACCATGTCCAAACGCGCATCGGGTTGTTCACCACGAAGTACCCGATGCCCTGTGCAGTTGCAATACGTCTTCGCCTCGAAGCACATGCATATGTCTGACTAGCTGCGATGAGTTCCAGGCAGGACGTCCCGCCGCGGCCACCCTAAATGATCTGACCGGGACGCAGATTCGCTCGGCGCAGGGTTGGTCGGGTAGGGTGATTAAGGTGGACTTGCGCGACTATTTGTCTGTCCGCTGAACGGAGGATACTGGTCATACGTATTCTTAAAGCTCGTTTCATACTTCTGGGCTCAGGGCGGAGGTGATGGTTCGGTGAAAGAGCTTGCCGGCTTGAACAGAAATAAACCGCGCGGGCCAATCATGCCGTCTTCTTTCCATTCGCAATGGTGCACGCAGTGAACCCCCCACGTATCTGGCATGGACTGGTGCGAGAAGGTGCAGGCAGTTGACAGAGTGCTGACGGAAAAGAAGAAGGCGCGTTTACAAGAGTAAAACTGGGTTTCTTCTGCGCATCAAATGGGCGAGTGACTGCACACTGCTCAACTGATGGCGTATTCACTGGGTGATCACAGCAGGTTATGTTCGTCTCTGTGTGCTATCGCGTTGTCAACTCTGCAACGGATCCCCGTGACGAGTTGATGCGCTTCGCCGATACTTCGCTGGTTGGACTACCCAAATGGCAACGGGAATATCGAGGAATGCGAAGGGGCAAGGTACGTGGGACCTCGCTACATAGTTAAACATAGTCTCTGGATAGGTAGGGCGATGGCTCGGGCCGTGCTGAGAAGTAGAAATAATGGAGTGGATGGACTGGAAGAGGCAGGTCCGTCCATTGCCTGTAAAGAAGAATTTTCGGAAATTAAGTGGAGGCTGTCCTTACAAGCTCTGCATGCGGATACTGCAGAATCTGCCTTCGCGAAACAGCTCCTGGGTACAGCGAGGTTCGTTCGACGCCGAAAGTGTCTTGGTCGGCCGTCTCAGGTCAAGCCTGAGGCTGGGATAGTTTCTTTTCCCAGTGAATAGTATCGTATACTAGGTGTAGAAGGTGTAACGGCTAATGCCGAAAACTACAGAGTGGCCGACAGACAGTGTCTTTTCAGGGACGCACTGGCACGGAACGCAAAGTGGGAATGCCGAAGAGCTGATTCAGCGGGATTACGAGACTGCTGGTTGGGCTGCACAAGCATTCAAGGAATTGCCGCCAGTTCAGAAGGAAACCCAAAGGACATCCAGCAAGTTGTGCCAGGCTCATAAACAGCTGTTGGAACCCCGAGGAGTAATTGTCACCAGGGGTTGCCGAGCGGGATTACCAGGGTTGTCTGGAGCGATTTCAAGAAACTCTGGGGGCAATTTTTGTCTGCGTGCCTCTGAATAGAGACCCATTCTGAATAAACCCATGTGTTGGCACCTACTCTACTCGATTCCTACCGACGCAGCGCCGCTCCATGTCCCGGATTCGAAGGGCGGCTGATGGGCTCGGGCCTGCCTCTGGAGCCGGTTCCATCGAAGGTTTAGGCAAGAACTTTTTACTAAGCTGAGGTACACAATTTTATTTTAGAATATTCGCGTGGCGGCGAACGCCTGCGCCAAGTTGGGTCGTTGGGGTCCCCTACTTGAGCGAAGCGGAATTGCTGAGGCCTTTCGACAGCCAAGTAGAATTTGATGGGGATTCTCTATAAGATAGTTTGGTAAATATGCACAGCTGTGTAAAAGACATAAACGAAAGAAATACTGCGGTATTCGCAATGCCGGGCCTTGGGCCCCCCTTCCAGGGGGTCCCCTCTCAATTGTGACCCGGCAGAGTGTACCAGCGTTTCGCCAGATCTTTTCCCCTTTTCTTTCTAATTTAATCCTGCTTGCTCTAAAATTGTGATTCCATTAAGACATTCAGGTTTGGGTTGGGAAAAGAAGAGAAAGAGGGGAGGTAAAGGCCTTGCGCCAGCTCTGTGCGGTGTAACAAGTGAAGGTCCCCCCCCTACAGCAGCCGTAGCGCTGCCGCTGTGAGCGGCTTAACCCTCAGTTACCTGATCTGAAATACTTGATCGAGCAGTACAAACAAGCTCGCGCGTTTATTGCCGTCCATGGAGGTTAACGGGGGGCCGGGCCGGCCATCTTTCTCGCGATTTGTTGCCCCAAGGAAACGAACGGCAGGAAGCTCTCTCACCTGGCCGTGCCAAGGACACGAGCTGAGTGACAAGACAACCTGCTAGCGCAGCAGCCAGAATATCCGTTTTCCTACGGAAAATCTCGTGTTCCTCTTATCCCTGTTCCCTCCCCTCCACAGAGAAGCATAATCGTACCCTCTTCAAGAATAAAGCCGTGAGGCGGCCGCCCCAGGGCAGCGCGCCATACTCTCCCCGCATCTCTGTTCTCCTTGGATCGTCTCTTATCCTTATTCAGTCTTATGCTTTCTTTTTCTTTATTTTTATTTTGAAGAAAGGAGGGAATCGATGGGCCAAGGGCCTGGAGGCTCTTGATGCACAAGCGGTGACCTCCCCCCGTCCGGCTGCCTTGCAGCAGTTGCGCCACCATTTAAGGGGTCTCGCGTTCTCATGGGCTAATTTCCTCGTTAGCTCTGTTATCTTTTTACTGTTTTTAGCCTTTGTTCGAGATACAAGGGGTCGGCCGGTCCACATCTGGACACCTGGCAGCAAGCCACCCCGCGGAGGCGTGTGAGGCGGCGTGGCGGAGTCCTGTTGGCTTCTTTCTTCCGCTTCTCTCGCTCTTTTTCCACTTACCTATCGGAATCTTCCCCTCGCATCTCGATTCTTCCTTGTTTTAACCTTGACGGAAGTGGCTGATATCAGACGCTCACGAGCAGCCCCGCCATAGGCAGCCTTCGTCTAGTCGCACGTCACCGTCGGCTGCAACGACTTCTATTGGTGTGAGGGGTTTGGCTTGAGGGTTGCTCAGTTGCGGTCTGCATGGCCTGTAAGGTTCTCTCGCTTCTTCTGTCCCCCCTGCTCAGGGCCTCCTTGTTGCTGTTTCGTGCATGCAGAGAGCCAAAGTTGGTCCCATTAGCAGCTGCTGCATTATATTGTGCCCTCACGGACGTCGGTTGTTGCTTCCCCTCTCCTCCTTCTGCGGGTTACCTTTTTAATACGTCGGTGGGGACAGGGATATACGCATCAGCAGGATCAGTTGCACAAGGGCCGAATCTCGCCGAAAGCGCGGCGGCAGACACATGCACAGGGGCAGTTTTGTGGAGCCTTCGGCTCCAACCTCGATCGAGGCAGCACGCAGTTACTGCCTCACCAGAGAATTTTTAGGTGATGAGGCTACAGGTCTAGGAACCGCTAAGCGGACCAGGAGGGGCCCCCGGCCAGGCGGGGGTCCGTCTGGCGACGGGGCGCCTGCCAAGCGCTTGATGAGGGGTTCACGACAGGACGACTTTGCTTCTGCAGCTGCTTCCGCTGAGACAAATGATTCTGACCCATCGGGTAGACTTGCTGAAGGTGAAGAAGAGAGGTGGCGGCTTCTAGAGCAGCTGTCCCAGGTCATCCCAGCAGCAGGGTCTTTGCTGCCAGAGGGGCCTTCGCAGGCGAGTCAGTACCAGGAGGCCTCGCAGCCCGACACAAGCGATGTGCTTGATTGGGAAGCGTGCAACAGAGCTCTAGATAGGCTTGTCAGGGCCAACAAACCCCAAAGTAGCCTTGCAGTGGAATGGGACTCCGCCCCTTCAAGCCACAGTAGGGAACTGGGCCTGTTCGACTTGCCCGTAGAAAGCACTACGGATTTCCACGGTGCTGCCATCAATCATTTGCATGACAGCAGTGGACATGTGACTTCTCTGTTGGGGGACCCCACTGAGGGCTCTCTGTTTGTTGCCAAGGGGGAGCTGGGGGCGAAGCGGACTATTAGCAATGCAGTCGACCCAATGAAGGAGAGGCAAAGGCGGGAATTGCAGTACAAGAAGACCTTCGATCTGGCCTCGCAAATCGTGTCGAGGTTTAGAGGAGCCCGTCGCCCCGGCGTGCTGCAACTGCTGCACCGCTTCTTTTCGTGTAGCAGCCGGCAGGTGCGGGACCCTCAGGAGCTTGAGAAGCTTGTGGGTGCCTGCTGCTACATCATAGCGCGGCAGCAAGGGGATGATATGACACTTAACGACGTAACTGCGCAGCTGGAGAGGCGGCAAGGCTCAAAGGGGAGGCAGCGCTGCCGCTGCATTAGCCGGTGGGTGGTGAAGGTATGCGGCAAGCTGCAGCTGAGGTGTCTGCCTAAACACGGGGACGCAGAGGCTTTAGCCTCGAATGCTTTGAGGCGCATCTGCTGCCATCTAAAGCTGCTGCTGACACAGCAGGAGCAGCAAGAGCTACTGCTGCTGCAAAGTCTGAAGGAGGCGTACAGGCAGTGCCTCCGGCAAGAGGCATCCGCAGGATCCGTCGAGGATAACACCCAGCAGCAGCAGAAAGATGCAGCGCTTGCAGAACTTGACGATGAAGATTTGCTGGGGCTGCTTTTGCTGCAGCAGCAGGAGGAAGCCGCTGCGAACGGCCCTGCTTCTGTTGAAAGTGGGTTGGGTTCTCCTGAAGGAGATATTCCTGACGTGGATGCATTCTTGAAGCAGTTTGACTCGGAGTGCAGTGCTAAGAAGACGCATATCGAAGACGAGGAGTGGGCACAGCCAGCAGCACCAGTTGAAAATGTGGTGTCTCTGGGTCCAGACGGTTCGTTGCAGTTGTCAGTCCCTGCAGCGCACAAGGCGAGCAATGCAAGCTCTCGTTTGAGTGAGTGGGACTCCGTGGCGACTTCTGAGGCTCCTCTGCTGGGAGAAGAGGCAACAGATCCAGCTGCTCTTGATGCGCAGATACAGCAGCACGAGTGCGTGTTGCGGCTGCTGCGGCTGTTGCCCAGCGCACAGCGTATCAAGTTAGATCATTCGATATGGCTGCAGAAGCAGAGAAAGCTGGCACTGCAGCAGCTACGCGAGCAGTCTTCCCTTGTCATCAAGTGTGTGGGGCTGTTGCAACAGCTGACAAATGTAGCATTTGCTGCTGCAGCCAAGAGAGGCTGCTTGCCCGCACCCACTGGAGTCCCTGACACCTGCAGTAGGGACGATGCAGAAACTGTGGAGACATCGCAAGCTGAGACAAAACCGAAGCAGCCAGGGATGCCTGTAGAGGGAGAAGATCCGCTGGATGAACATTGGGTAAGTTTTTTTTGCTTGCCCCTGAGTGATAAAGTCAGTTGATCAGTCTACCGCAGGAGCCGCAAGAGGAGTGCTAGATAGCATTGAAAAGCTCCTGTCCGTTGTTTCTGCCTGCTTTTTCGCAGAGAGCTTGTGGGAGATGCGATGCTATATCTACGGCGGCCCATTTCGTAATTGTTTTTGAGTGTCTCCAGGTTCGTTTGCTTATCTGCTCTTATTTTGTCTGCTTGTGTCGTGGTGCAAAGAGCTGCCATTGTTGCTCGTAACCTCTTGTTCTGCCATTCGTCTTCGCATCTTCCCCCTCATGCGTACATGTTGCTGCTGCTGCTCAATTTTGGTGTCAGGCAGTGAAAGGTGTCCACACCCAGGAGCTTCTGAATTTGCATTGGCTGGTTGTTTCGTCTGCTTGTCTGCTCAGGTTCCAGTTTTCCAACGCGTGGTTCTTGAGGCCCTCGAAGTGGACCGCCGTAGCGTCTATAACAGGCGGCGCGAACAGCTCCATCTGGCCCTCAGCATTTTTAGGTTAGCAGCAGGCGCCTGACCTAGTTACTTGGCCTGTTCACTGCTGTTCTTTCTATCTTTCTCTTTATGCCTGTGTAAATTTGCATATTGGGCTAGGGCATACCTCTGAAAGTGTATGTTTGCATGTTGGTGCTGCAGGCGACTCCCCGGTGCAGGAGACGTAACAGTAAAGACATTGGGAAGGCTTCTAATGAATGCAGTTAACGACCCGGAGACAACGAACAAGCTCCTACGGATAGCTGAGACTGTGCCCCTGCGGGCTGCAGCTGGTGACGGCCCCGACAGTCCTTCCGAAGAGAGACCAGGTACCAGCTGCCACACCAGTGGCCACCTCAGCAGCCAGACACTTTCCAGGAGCAGCGCGGAAGACCTCAGTTCGCGAAGCAGCGGCAACCAGCGCGGACACAGTCCTGCAAGGCTCCCTTCTCCTCCTGTCCCGTCGCGGCCCGCAGCAGCTGCACGGGAGCCGCTAAGCCCTAAGGATTTATGCGATGCAGAAACCATCAGCAGCACTGCTGCTGCTGCTGCTCTGCGGGAACTGGAAGAGGGCGACCCTGTTCTGTCCGACACACCGATGGCCCGCGTGGTGTCTCTACAGTACGAAAGGACGCAGCAACGATGGGTGTGCAAGTGGAGGGAGGGGTTGGGGACAGGTGGCCGGTGGCATCGGCGTTGTTTCTCTGTTGTCAAGTACGGGGAAGACGGGGCTCATACATTGGCTGCCGCTGTAGCGAAGAAGCTTAGGGATAGACGAGACCAGGAAGCCAACGGATTGAAAAACGGAAGCACCGCAACTTCAGATGTTTCACCGCATGCAGCAGACGGTCCGCCAAGCGGTGGGGTATCCAAAAGAGGTCCCAAAGGGGCCATGACGAGTGACACACCCTCTCACAATTCAAGAGTTGCTGGCAGTGCTTGCAGGGCTCGTAACAGGCGCAGCGGTGCAACACCACGTGGAAATGCAGCTAATGCAGGTGCGCCAACTCCGCATGACACCGACTCATCGTACTACTTTTCTCATGTTGACGAAAGCAAAAGGGACTCTGTTCTTCCAGGCATTCCAGCCGACCCGAATCTATCAACAGTGGTGGCATCGGCTGCTTACAGCGACGAAATGGAACGCCTTGCGCAGTTGTTACGGAAGGCAAGAAGCAACCCTTTGCTTGCAAAGTGGCTGGATGAGCGGGCCCCTCCCCCAGGAGCGGCTGCACTGCGTGCGGCAGCGGAGTCAATCGTCCCTTATCTTGCACTTCAAACGGAAGCGGACAAGGCACGGGGTGGAGCTTCTGTCTCTTTTCGCCAGCAGCAGCAGGCTCTTCAGAGAAGGGGGAGAGTGACGGGGACGAGGGAAGGCATGTGATTTAGCCTGCAACCCTGAGGACTAAGCCGACTTGTGCAAGACTGGTCTGCTAGCTCTTCTTCAGGATTGCGTTCAGGCGTTTTCTACAGTGCTTTTGCATGCAAGCTGCACTGTATTCGTAATGGGATTGTACAGAGCCGCAAGTGTGCGGTGGTGGATATTGGCTAGCACGTTGTTTTGTTCCCACGCTCTTATCGCTTGTTTTGGCAGTGGGCATCATATATCACGTTCATGTGAAGAGATTTTGTGTCGTCACGTTGAACATCATTATCGCATGTATGAGGTAGTGGACAGAATGCTTTTTGTGTTGACTGTGGGTGGCGCGGGGGCTGCTCAGTGCCTTTGTGTCCTGGGGACATCCTTGTAAGTGCAGCTTGCCTCCCAACTGTGTAAACTGTAAGTGCCTTTATCCTCATGTAATGTTGCATCTCTGTCGCACCGTTCCCCGATGGCTTGAGGCTTCGTAACTCCACGGCATACCAAACTCAGCGCCCTACGCCGTCACATGCATGGTGATGTTGTTCAGTGTAGGCGCATGCATCATTACATACGCGTTCAGCCCAGTTGGTCTCGAAACCAAATCTGGTCGGCTTTCTGTCGAATTTCTGCTCTTTTCGTCAATTGGCAAGAGTGCGGAAATGAGGCGCGCAGTTTAGTGACCCAAAAATGCTCATAGAGCAAACACTGATTATGCGGGAGTGGTCTACTGTGCGCACTTTACAACCAATCGGTTTTACTTCTTTTCTTGAGCCGCATTCAACCAGCCTTGCGGGCATCTCTTTTTTCCAGTTCAAGCTAAGCGCTTTAAAATTTGAGCGGGGATATGAACGTGCAGTAGGCGCTTCCAAAATTACAGAACGTGTAGATACGTTATGCACAAGGCCCACAGCAACGGTAGAACCGTAGCAGGAATCCCATGGCTTTCACCTCCACGAAAGTGGGGGTCGTACCCTCTTTCAGGCGTAGGGTATTCTGGGGTGAATGGGCCTGGCACAGAGTCAAAGTAGCTCATGGCACGCCACATGTTGACTACTCCGTTCGTTCCTAGGGCTCCTGCAGGCAGGACAGAAACATCAGGAGGCAAAAGCAGCATTTGCTGTGTCCTGACCTTTTGCGGAGATGAAAAGCACGGTTGCTTCCCTCACCAGCTAGGGCTTTGGATCCAGTTACAGAGTACATGATGGCTTGTTCCACCTTCCTGCTTGCGGGCTCTTTGCACTGTTGCCAGCCTAGAGGATTGGTTGCCTCAAAATATGCCCACAAAGACGCAGCCATTCCGGCAACTATCGGAGCAGCGAAAGAAGTACCGTCGACGTATGTGTAGCCTGCAGCAGTAAGAACGACGTGAAGCGAATCAACACCCTTTGGCAAGATCTCACTCAGCTGAACATAGCGTTGTTCCGGTGCTCCAGTTAAAAGAACTGCCAGTGTTTCCGCAGTTTCGACTGGCAGGTGAAGGCTACCGATCCTCCGTCGTGGATGCTGCCAAATTGTAAGCTGAACGCGAGCGAACAGTTGAATGCGCGTACAGGAAGTGCAGCGTCGGTTCCCTGAGTTTGCTCTGTAATTTGTCCCAGCGTAGATCAAAGTCCCAGGGGCTGCAACGTCAACGCCCTCACTTCCATAGTTGGAGAACGAAGCGCGGAAGCCAGCTACGTCGCTTGCCATGACATTCACTAGCCCTCGTAATCGGAATGCTCCAGGAGTGAAACTGCAACAAAGGGGCGCTGCACGCAATGGCCACCTCTAGGCATTTCCTTTTCGGAAAAAACTGACATGAACGACAACGACTCACCGCCCATCAAGCCACACAAATATATACACACATAAATTTCCAGGGCAATGAGCTGCTACTGGTGGGCTGGGATTTTATTCTGAGATCAAAATCGTCATTGGGGACCTACTAACACTCGTTTTGTTCATCAATATTGCAGCCCGAATTCCCTGCCGCGGTGACTATCAAGTGGTCATGTTTGAGAGCTCTCACAAAGGCCTCGTACTCCGCGGCGACGAATCTGCAAAAATATCCTTAAGTGCTCCTCTACAGTGATCACCATGGTGCCGCCATCCATGGAAAAGAAATTCTATCGAAAGCCTTGTCATGCAGTTGCTGGTTCGAACGGACTGCGCAGTGCACTTGGCAACAGTCACACTGTATATGAGGTCTTGAATGCGGATCAAACTAATTGTTATAGTTTACCCTGGTCCTCCATAGGAGTGGTTTGAAACCCGAGCCTTCATCTTGACGGCATAGTCGAGAGCTGGAATTGTTGTCGACGTCCAAACTCCTCGCCGGCTTCCGACGCGAAGGCACATTACCGTCGGATTCGAGAAAACCCCGCGGCCTCCCCTGCCGTCATGCGCCCGTGCGGCTGCCACAGAGGTAACTAATGTGCCATGACCAGAGTCATCGGTGAATGGGTGCCCATTGTCTTCTACAAAATTCTGGTAAGAAGGAAGGAACGCAGGCGGGTAAGATGTCCACAGACCTACTCTCCGAGCACTTTCTCAAGACACAGCATAGCAGCATCTGCACAGTGCATACCTGTGCCCAGATTCGTAAACGGCGGGCATACCAAAATAAGATGTACCGTGAATTGAATAGTCTGCCTATTGTTCACTGGCTCGTGAGTCTAAATGCCTTACTATATGTTGCTTTGCTGTTTTATGCTATCGTAGCCGGAATCAGAGCACTTCAGCATCAGGCGGGCAAGGCCGTCTGTGGCAGTAGCTACTGTTGGTCAATTGATAGAACATGAATAATCTAACTCTTGAACTCTTTCCCTGCTGTACAGCTTCCTACGTTACTTTGTTAACAGGGAGGAAGCGGTGCTTACCCACCCAACCAAAGCAGTCGTCAACATAGCCATTTTCGTCATCGTCAATTCCATCTGTGCAGTCCTTCTCCCCAGGATTGTCCCAGAATATGCTGCTTGCAACGTCGAAGTCGTCAATAAAGTCTTGATGCAAGTAGCATCCAGTGTCCAACACAGCCAGTACCACGGGCACTGTCTCTGCAAAAGCAATACCCAGCATAATTCCATCTCCAACAAAATTCAGAGCTTTTGGCATTCATTGTTCCAGCAGAAACTCGGAAGACTCAGGTGTCGCTCCTTAACATGGAATGCTATGAAAATTATTCCCTAATGTGCAGTCAATCTGCTATCTCCGAAGGTAGGGAGCTGTCAAAAACTTCAGCGTTCAGTTATACCTTGTCTGCTTGGCTTACTCGTGGCCGCTTCTATTTTCTGCCAGACCTTGTCTGCTCCCACAGTGAAGTTTCCAAAGAATGAATGCAAGTACCATTGCCTCATTTGGAACGGATCCCCAAGCAAACCAGAAGGGGCCCGCATAATCTCGGGAGATGCGGCAACTTCTCTCGGCATTTCCCCCAGGTGTTGCTGAGTTGATTTTCTCTCATGGACTCCTGGCGAGGGCCACGGTGAAGCGTTCGACCTCTGAACATCGACCTTGCGGTCTACCGATACTTCATCTACACACGCTACAGCAGCTGTGATTATCCTTCCGAGGGCCTCCTTTGCTTCATCGGAACCTCCGGATAACGATTCTGCAGCTTTTCTTATGCTTGGCAAGAATCCGGCAGACGGCAGATGAGACTGCACATAGGATGTACGCAGGGTCACTAGCAGTTGATGCACTCCCCTTTTGTCCTGGTGACTTCAAAGTGGAACTTTTTGAGCGCTTAAACCGGTGTACTCTTATGAGAAATGTATAAGCATGCTACCCACAAGCTGGTGGACAAGGTCTTGCAAAGCTCTGCAGCGTGGGGAAATATGAAACCGGCACTCACATTGCTGATGCGTAATATGTCAGTGTTGAGCGCTCCATAGTATGCTGCTCGCATAGATGGACCTTCGAAGAACCTCAGTCTAAGTCGATCTCGACAGTTGGCCATACAACCTGTTAGCGTCAAGCCGAGCCTGGCATGTAGCCCCAGAGCACGGGCGAAAAGCCACAGTGCCAGGTGGCGCCCGTTGACGATGCTCCGTGTGGAATCTTCTTGCAAATCGTTCGCTCCAACGCGGTCTTGCATGTACACTCCACCGCGAAGCAACACCTTGCGCCCGTGCAAAGCGCTATCTTTCTCTCCAAAAATTTGAAGAGGCACAACTTCCCGAACACTGAGCGGCTGCAGAGAAGTCGGTACCTTTTGTGGCAGGCTTTTCAGGCATCCAGGATTCCATGCAACTATAAGTCTGGAAGCTTCCTTTTCTCGACCTTCGGCCAGTGCGTCGGCGATGTTCTGGAAAAAAGACAAAAGGCAGCTGAAGGGGCTCCCATGCATTTCCCTTGCACTGCGGAGTGCAGCAGAAGGCAAGCAATGATTTCTATTGGCTATTTGACAGATCAACGACAGAACACATCTTGTATGCCATGCTATGCGGCGAACTGACAGAATATGTGGACCTTGCCTCTCTAAAGGTACTTCGGGTTATGATGGGGCCGTACACGGTCACTTCTTCAGCGCTGGCGTGACGTTTGGGTGCTGTCGGACCGCATCGTTCCTTGCGGACTTCCGGATTCTGGGGAAGCCGTTGGCCTCGTTCCTGTAGGTAGAAGCTGGCGCAAAGAGAAGCGCGAAGATGCTCTCTTCTTTGGATTTCGCTTTTGAGATGTCCTCCGTCCCGTGGGACGGCTTCAAGCGGCCAGCTAATGGTGCACGGGAGCGCAATAGCGAGAAACACTGCATTGAGGAAGGGAGTTTTCGGCAGTCGAGAAACGCACATCTTCCCCTACGGCAAACGGAATTGTGGGCCAGAAAGCAGCAGTTCGCTGCTGCCTAGGCTGTTCAAGTAATCGAGTAAGATGTCAGTTACGGTTGGATGGCAAAAGATAGGGGAAGCCCCTAGCTCCATATAATGTTTTACTACTACATCATATGCCCAGCGCAAAAATTCTTGCGAAGGCAAGCGGACCGGGAGAAATACGCAAAACCTTAGCAGGTCGCAGCAGCCTGCACACATTGCAAGCTGACGGCGCTAGTGAGTCCACTACAGCTATTTGATGCAGCAAGACTTCCTCTGCATTCTAACATAATCTATAGAACTCTGGGCTCGGCGGGCTACACCGGTCCCCTTTGTGCATCCTGCCTCTCACCACAAGCAGTAGGAACGCGAGTGAGCTATACTTGCGCCACTCCTATATTCGGTGGGTGGTGAAGCGACCTCATTGGCTTGCCTGACTAAAATAAACTATTTACACGCGGATCTGAACTCAGTTGATCCTGTCTTAGATCCAACTCGGAACGTGGGGTGCTGCAACGAGGGAAAAAGCGTCGGTAGCTTTTCTGTGCTCGACGGATGCGCAACTGTGCTGCATTAGCCAAAGTTGACACTTTTTTTATTGTGAGAGGGATTAAAAAGTGTTTCCAGGCTCAAATTTGCACGTGGAGCAGCTGTATGATCTTGCTTCGACAAGTGGGAGCTGGCAGCCGACGACGACACCACACCAACCCCACCACCAGCTGCAGCCCCCTTTATCTGAGAAGTTGCTGCCCCCCAAAATCAGCACGCGTCCGTAGTTTTCACAAATCTCACTTAACGCTTAAAATAGAGAATAGGGAAAAGGGCAGTGGCGTCAGTAGCAGTGACGAGACAAATGCCACACACAAAGATGTGACGATTCCCCCCCTACGAGGCACCCTCCTGGACCGTGACGGTTTTTTTTCCACATCATCATCACTTTCCTCCATCCTTTATCTACTGCAACTAAAGTCATGACTGTTTGGGGCTCCTGGAGGTGCGCTACTGCATGAACAGGCCGTCCGAGGGCCGAAGCCTAGTCAAATACAGACGACGCCTTAAACAGTGTTTGCTTGGCCGCTCCAACTCCTCCTCATAGCTGCAGAAACCATGGCAGGGGCTATGTGGTCCTCTGAGCGAGGGAGAAGGCAGGCTTCCTTCAAGGAAAGCGGGGCAAACCACGCTCGGGTAGGCCCCCGCTGCCGCACTGGCTGCAAAACCTCCACAACGCCAAGGTTAATCAGCACTACATGCCGCAGCGGCATAACTGCCAACGCTCGAAAACGCGAACCGGACTTGATTGATGAATACGATAACAAGGAAAATGCAAGCAGCAATTTGGCATGCGCTGGAAACTCCACATCAAGCGCCTCCAGCCGCAACCGCAGCAGCAGCAGCAGCAGCGGGAACAGGAACCTCTGCAGGCCGCTAAAGCTTCAACGAAGGCTCAGTAGCAGGGCACCGGCTGCACACAGCTCATCAACTACGCAGCTTGCACAATGCAAGAGAACAGATGATTCAGGGGGTGACTGTGGGGCCACTAGGGTGCACCGCGAGTTGCGAGGGCTCATTCTTGAGACACCTTTGAAGAGCCGACGTATGTCTGCGTACTTTCCGGACTGGAGCCTCAATCAGAAGCTCGATTTGCTGCTCAAGATGGGAATTGTAGCCACAACGAAAGTAAACGAAAGCGAGGAAGTGCACACTCTGAGCATCTGCAGCCAGTTCGCAGAGGAGAATCATTTGGCGATGCTGCAGGACAGCGACAGGGTCTCCTACTACAGAAAGGTCGGCATTACTTACTTTAATAAGCCTCTCGCCAATCTCACACGCTGATCTTTCAGATGCTTTTTGTTGCCGGAGCTGCTGTAGCTGGTGCTTTTCGTCTTTAGCTGGTTTCGTAGCTGCTGTAGCTGCCGCTCTTCGTGTTTAGCTGATTTCGTCCACCGCCGTAAGAATGGCTTGCGGAACGACCATCCTGGCGAATGGTGATACCCAAGCCACCCCAAAAGAACAATAAAGACGCTCTTTAAATATGCTCAATATGTTGGTGGGATGTTAGGGCATAGTTTGGATTTTTCGGATGTTCAGGCGATGCAATGGACAGGAGAAGCGAAGAGCGGAGGCAAAAGGCTGGTAGAAGGCCGTCGGGTCCTTGAAATAGGCACAGGCCCCATATGCTTGCTTTCCATAAACGCAGTAAATGCAGGCGCCAAGCACGTCGTCGCCCTAGAGGCCTCCCGGCCGTCTCACTGCCGGGCGAAAAAGTTCGTAGAGGCCATCGGAATGAGCCATAAAATCGATATTCTGCATGGATACTCAAAACGTATTCCCGCTTCCCTCTTCAAGGATCCAGAAGTTGTAATACATGAAATCATAGGCGACTTTGCGTCCCAAGAAGGTTAGTTTGGTAGCGTTGGCTCCGCGTCAATCAACTTTGCGCGAATAGCTCATCTTTAAAAGTGGCAGATGAATGGATAATATCTTTCCCGAGAGGAAGCCTAGCCAGATCGTTATGACAAAAGCCATGTGATTTTTTGTGGTTTCACCTTCAGGGGTCGCGGATGCGCTTCTCGACGTGCAGGAACGCACGGGCTCTATTCCCTTGAGTATTCCGTTTGGCGCAGAAACACTCATTTGCCCTGCAAGCTTGCCGGAACCGGAGCATTTCCTCTATCCTGCTCACTCATACGAAGTGAGGGGTTACTCTTTACTTTTCTGTACATCATACTTCACCATTTCCCAGTCTCTACCTAGAAATTTCCGCCTCCTGTTCCAGCTGAGCAAACATTGTTCTCACCTGGTCGCTTCCGCGTTCATGCATTTGTGGATTAAGCTGCGCTTGTGGGGCTTGGTACTTGTTTGCGGTTCTCTCCGGGGATCAAACGCTATTTGAGTGACGACGGGAAACTTAGTAAACGCTTGTAGGGAAAATGTGGATAATTGCTCCGTTTGAATTAAGTGCACTATCATTTGGGTGGGTATGGTTTCAGGGGCGAAGCATATTATCTCCCCGTCGTATTCTTCTGCAATCTGTCCGGCTAAACACAAGCCACCTGCTACTCTGCGAGGATTTTCAAGCATTTGAAACGCTCAAATTTCAATGCCCTATGAAGGATCAGATGGAACAAAGGAAGACGCTGAAGTTTGTCATTAGCAGACCTGGTTGTATGGCTGGCCTGCTCGCCGTAATCAAAGTGAGCTTTATTATAAAGTACTACTAAACTACTACTAAGTAGAATCTAGCTGAGCCTATAAAGGTTTCCAGTGCGGCGTATTAGGCAGTCTGTGGCGAAAGGGTGTGCTGCCAAGACCTATTCTCCTTTGCGGTGATGTTCAGATTGAAATTTACCCGGGTATGTTCTTTGGCACATTCCGAAATGGGGAGACGGACTCTTGGTATACGTCATTGGTGCTGCTGCCGGAGGAGGTGAAGGTGGAACCCGGGGATACCATTAGTGTTGAGTCTTGTGCAGATATGCGCAACTATTCCAAAGTGTGCAGCGCCAAACAGCCGCAGAAATCGGGTTCCAAGACGGAGTCGAGCTCTGTTCTCGTCTCCAAGCCCACGTATTCATTTACCGTCTCTGTTTATAAGCCTTCTTTTAGCTTTCGGAGACCCTTTAAAAGTTTTCCGCCCATTGTTGTTCCCTTCGAGGAACAGGCGCCCGTCCTGTGTGGCGCCACGCGCAGGTATGCGGACAAACGCTAGCAGTAGTTTGTCACCGCTACACTGTACCGATTTTTGGGATTGTTTATTCTGCAGCTTGTACTCCTTATTCGGTGCTATCTGTTTGGTTATAGCTCTGATTCCGCGCATGTGTTATGCGATTGTTGCTTCTTTGCGTACAACGCTTCAGAGGGCTGCAAGTGTAGCAAGCCCTACTCTCGCATATTCACGTGCATTTTTAGACCTGCACGAAATCCGGCCTGCAGCCAACGATTAAGGGGACAAACTGCGTTTTTTTCATGACTCAAGCTTCATGGTAGATAGCTTCTCTGTTCTCTGTCTCTTATTGCTCGAGTTCAGCTCCTGTGTGGGCTCTCGCCACCTCTCAAAGCTGCGTGTTTGAGCAGCCTGGTCCCCGTAGTGTGGAATAGTGTATATAAAGCGTTCTCGGTGAATCGTCTCACGGAATTAGTTTGGGCAGGTGATTCTGTGCGCACTGAGGTTGTAATTCACAGAATCACACTACCAGCTAAAGTACTTTGTTAACCCCACAATTGCCATCTAGTAGGCAGCCAGTTGTCCGTATGACAAACGACGGTTCTAATTCCAGTGCACAGTTCATTTAATATCATCGCTGCAGCACTTCTGCTGGCTGAAGCCGCTGCAACTATTATCCTTGCCTGAAAACCTAGTGCGTCGGTGCCTATAACAATTCTGCTAATCTCCACTCAAATTCATTTCCTTTGCTGAAGCTACGCTACAAACTCGTCCCAGCGTAGTGCAAAGGGCATCACACTATGCAAGCTTCTACGAAAGTCGAGCGCAGTAAGGACGGTGTCTATCGCCTGCTACCTTTCATACATTTCAAAGCTTAAATAATATGGGTTCGAGGTATTAGCCGTTCCGGGCAAGCAGATGGGTTGGGAGCCTAAAACGACACATCTCGAGGCCTTAATATCTCAACAGGATGCGCCTGATAAAACGCGGAGTATGCACTTCACTGCACTATCCGCCCTGTTGAGATGCCCACTAGGCTAACTTGATGCCACCTTTACAGAATGCATGCCGTGTACATGTCCTATCAACATGTGCGCCATTGTACGGGAGTGTAGCTTCAAATCCTCACCCATCGAGCAATTACTGCTGTGCAGCTGTCGGGTCAGCAACACGGCCGCTAAAAAGAATAAGATTTGTGTCTCCATCAACGAAGCGCAGCTGGAAGATGAATGGCTTGTCTACTAGAACGTTTATTTGGGTCTTAGGCATGGGCATGGCGCGCAACATCATGATCATAGCAGTTGCAGCGGTGGCTTCTGTACCTTCCTCGTTAACATCAATGTCCGCCTGGTGGACGAAGGAAGAAACAAAGAGGTCCCGATCGCCAGTAATGCCTGAGAAATCCGCCTTTCCCATGTCGAACATGTCGGGGGCCCCGAGTCTGCCGAAGATCTCCCTCAGGTCGACTTTGTTGTCATCTGCAGACAACTTGAATTTCGGCAAGGTCAAAAATATCTCCTCTTCAAACGACCTGTCCATTGCTGAGGACTCCATGTCTGCAAATGTTTGCTCCAGCTGCTGCGGGTTATCGATCATAGACTTCTCGAAGCTGGAGAGGTCCTCTGGCATGACAATGTAAAGACGAAGACGAGGGTCTGTGTAAGGCAGCCCCACTGCCAAAGCTTCCTTCTTCATGGATAACAAAAGTGGCGCCTTGTCCAGCTTCCCCTTCATGAACTGGGTCTGCTTAGGACCACTGGGAGTGAAGAAAACGCCCAAGCTGGTTGCAGAACTTTCGAACTGCTGGAGCCATGGAGCTTTGAAATACAGTGCGTTGATCAATACAAGGCGAGTCTGTGGCCCCAGAGCGGAGGCATTCAGAAGGTTCTTAATGTGATCGCGTGTTGTAGTGGCAACGAAACTGTTAATCTTCTCAGCAGCAGCTGCGCCGTCCGAGAAATCGATAGTTTCTGCACTCTGCTTCTCCTCCTGCAGCTGCTTCTTGAACTTCTTGAAGTGTTTGTTTTTCTCCAGTCCAGGGTGTACGTACAACCGATTCGCAACGTCGACAGCAACAGCACCTTCTTTCTGAGGTGGCTGTATCAACTCGGGGATGGCAAAGCTTTCATTAGGACCCACGAGTGCATCCATCTGTCCCCTGGTTTCCCCAGCAGCACCTTTCTGTGCGGTGTGAAAAACGCTGAAAATGCTGAAGGGTGAAAACACGAAATTTGGCTTCGCTTCTAAACTGGGCCCAGCAATTTCGCCATAGAGGCGCTCCGCCGTAACGGTGGAAGGGTCCATTGCACTGGCTGTGGAACTGAGCGACAAAGCAGTTGCTACAGCAGCAGCCGAGCAAAAACGAGTTAATTTACTTAATAATGCCATTTTAAGCCAATTGCGTCCGTCTCAGATGACGGCAATATAGCGGAGGAGGAAGAGAGGCTGCTATGCTCACCACCGGCTACCGCGCCGTATGACCAGAAGTTGCGGCTCCAGAGCCAGATAAGGAAAAAGGTTTGCAAACGAAAAAGCGGAAACTCTGCAACAAAATACGTCAACTGTAACACGAATAAAAAAAATGCCGTTGGAGAGCCACCCAAAACGACAGAAGCAAGACCAAGCGCGGTTGCCTTGCTTTCTGTCGTGAGGCTCTCGCTCGTTGGGCAGTCGTGGGCTCAAGCCTCCGCACCGAGCGCTCACAGCTGCATCCCAGCCTATTTGCTCACCTATATTGATTAACCATAGGAAAAACCAGTGACCTATAGTATTGAGTAATATAACGGCAGTAATTCGCAGCATTTAACCTTCCGGCGGGATAGCTGTCTGCAGCATATCCACAAAACCGATTGTTGAGTGTGCATGCATGAGCGCACCACAATCCCTACAAAACTGATTGATGACTTTGTTCGGTTGCATGCAACCTGAAGCCCAGGGAACGGATTGGTGATTTTGTGTGGATGCGTGCTTCTCCTTTCTGCTGACGTCTGCGGGAGCCCTCTAGGCTTCTGCAGGCATAGCTCTGCTTTCTGTACAGTGTTATTTCATTGTTTTAGCCTTTGCATAGAAGCCACGAATCTTACTGGGAATGCATGATATATGATTGGCGGGTGTGTCGCCTGACGGGGATTGCAAGAGCACCTTCCTAGCAATCCTTTGTATACAGTAAGCGGTGTCATGGAGATTCAATTCCTTCCGCATAAACGTCTCATCCTTATATTCTGTCTGCTGTTACTTTTTTTATTTATAGCGGATTTTTGACGAAGTAACGAGAAGCCTCGTCATTCACCAAGGACCCTCGACAGCTGCAAGGGGGGCGAAATAATTTTTTACCTTGCGTCGAACATGGGGGGCATGTAATAGTTCATACAAAGAAAAGGGGTTTCCTGATTCCGATGATTACATGGAAAAATGTCTTTAGTGTTACTGAATGCAGAAACGGGGTTTCTTGAGTCCTACCAACACAAACAATTGTTCAAAACGTACATGGCATCCAATTGCCAAAATACACATAAAGATCGATGCATCCACTGTTATACCGGCCCTTCATTGCCCCCAGATGGCACATACGCAAAATCCGCAAAAGAGAAATAAAAGATGCAAGATGAAGCAGGAGATTCGCTGACAGTTGCAAGTCCAACGAGTGGCGTCGACATTGCCAGAGGACAGTCGCGGGATGTACGATAGTCATAATACATTCAGCAAGCCCTAACAAAAACCAGGCAACTTCGTTTTCCCTCTCACGAAAACTGGACGCTGGTGCGTAGAGAGGGCGTCCTGTCACACGAGTTGCAGCAAGTGCTTCTCCAACTGCCACACTACTGCAAGGCAGCATCTTATGCAAGCACAGGTACACTCCTTCTTAATGCACGAACAGCGGAGGTAATTCTTAACGCCCACTTGGCCCTCAGGACTCAATAATCCACACACGTAAGGAGAAAGGAAGCGTTTGCCACGTTCAGACAGGCCACGCTACACCCTGCCACGCCTGCAGCTGCAGGTAGTAGAATTCCTCGTCTACGGATTCCAGTTAGTCTTTTCTGCTTCCGTATGCATCAAACCAAGGTTGGATACAAACGCCGTTTCCAACGACTCCAGACAACCGCATCATGTGGACGGTCACGCGAGCAAGAGGCCTCGCCATCCAACGTGGGAATGCTCAGTTTTCCAAAGGTTTTCTGAAGGAGTATTTTGTATAGCAAGTTCTTTTGCATACCATTTATACCGTAAAATATTGAAGCAGTTGAACAAAGTACAGCAGACAGCGACAACCGTGAGAAACGGGGGGCCCCACCTGCTAGAGCACCTGATGAGTGGGGCGTTTGGGTGCCCTTTTCCATCCACTAGGTACAAAACTGTGGCTCAAGTGTAATACATTTGTTTTAGGATCGTCTCTACTTTCTATATGATCAAAAGAAGGGGAGAGGACTTCACTTCTACACCACTAGAACTCGTGGCGTGTCGTGTCACCTCCGACACCCCAGCGGAATCCTCAGAAACTCGTCTGTTTCTGTCCTGTGACTCATTGTTATTTACTTCGTAAGTAATTTTTGGCAGAGCAAAGGCGTTTTTCTCTCTGAAGAGAGACGACAGAGCGCAGGAGTTGCCTGTGAAACGCGGCGTACGCAAACAGCCTCAGGCGGCGCCGCGGCTATGCTGTGGTGTACAGCCAGAATCGCCTGAGGCAGTGGAAATAACAGAAAATTCACATTTTCTTCTTTTTACGAACGCGTTCGCGGGTGGCGGTGTATTGGTTGGGGTCCAGCAGGCACACCGCCAGGCCGAGCAGCTGGGCCGACGCCCTTTCTACACTCTAGCATCCCATCTTGCGGCCCCTGGCAAACTGTTTATTCAACATGCGAGCTCCTCCTCCGAAGCGTTTTTGGGCATGGGCGGCGGTTATCTGCTTGGGGGCTTTCTATGCCTTCTCCGTCGCACAGGTGAGAGGGAACGCAAAGAGCGTTGCTGTCTATTACCAAGGGGTGGTTGATTATCAGTCCAGTAGTATATCTTCTACAACATTTCAACTTCTTGCAACAATGCAGCTATAGGAATGGGCTCACACTAGCCCTCCTTGATAATAAATGTTTTTTGTCTCATCTCCCCCTTCACCTGCCGCGTCATACCTGCGCATTATCGTGTCAGCTTGATTTCTTCGCACACAGCGCCTCAGTTCCAGCTGAAAGACTACTCGTGTTCACCAGTGGTTCACCAGTGGTGCGGCTAAGATGGGTGGGTGGGATGCTCGCAGGCAGGGAGCCAGATGTCCTTGACAGGCTACAGACCCCTGCAGTATAAAGCAGCGGCCAACTTCCCCTTGGGCCCTTGGGGCCGCGTGTCGCTTCCGGGGGCCTCCTTGTGCACTTGTGAGAAGCTGTTAGACGGACTGGCGGCGACCGGAGCAGCCTCCTCCCGCGTCCTCTGCGTCGCGAGGGCAACGGCTCTCACCGCCGAACAGGTAAGCCTAGGGCATGCAGTGAGCGTGGTGCATGCAGTGAACCTGATGCATGCAGTTATCCTGGTGCATGCAGTATTCTTGGTGCATGCAGCACCTGCATGCTTCTTCAGCTATGCCGCTTGCTTCATGCGTGTTTGTGGGGCCGTTTGTTTGCACGTTTGACATGCCGTGTTTACAGAGTGAACAGCGCACGCGCCGGATGCACGTACAGTCGGTTGACGATAATCGCGCTGCACACTGGCGGTGCATCTGAGTTGGTATTTTGCCGTTTGTACCGCAGGTGGAGAAGCTGCTGGGGCTTTCTCATTTCGTGCTGGTGTTGCTGCCTCCGGCAGGGGTTCCCCTGAGCGCAGCAGCAGCAGAAGAAATAAAGCGAATAGAAAAATTGCTGCTAGACCGACACAGCGCTGCCTCTGTTGTCTTTGCACGGGAGACAAAGGACGCTACGGCGTTGCTAGAAAGACTGAACAGGGACGGTAAGGAACCTCTATGGAGCCAAGGGAATGCATACCTGCCGCGGGTATAAATGCATGTCTTTATGTTGCTGCATGCATGATGCATGCATGCGCTTTTTGCACGCTTACATACACGCATGCATGCGTAACCTGTGCATTTGTATCTGTAGCTGCACAGACACTGCAGCATCCCCAAATTCTGCCGACTTCTGTTGGCTACGTGCAACTGCTTCTACTGCTAGGGTATACTGGTGTTACCTGCTGCTGCTGCTATAATTTTCTGCTGCTACCTCTTGCTGCTGCTGCAATCTCCTGCTGCTATCTGTTGCTGCTGGTGCTGCTGATTCAGATGAGTATGAGCACGCCCCCGCTAGGACGCGTATGCTGCGTCCGTTTTTAACTGCGTACAGCGCGTTGGCCCAGGAGCTGCAGCCTATCCCGTCTGTCAAGGGCGTTACGCTGACGGTTCGTCTGCTGCACTTGTGTTTGCATGCAAGTGGGGCTGCCTGTCGCTGCTAAAGTTATTTTACTAATCATGATAAGCAGCCCAAGCATGTTGAGAAGCAACGCTTAGTGCCTGTGCACGTAGAAATTAAGGTTTACTTCTAATATTAATGATGGGGTTAGGGTTTAGGTCTTAGGGTTTAGTTCAAGTATAGATCATATTTATACAGGGATTTATGCAGATGTGACTTTCAAGCATATACTGGTTAAGCGTGATTACTGCATTCTGTTTGCTTTGGCTGCTAATGAGTGTTGAATGCCAAAAGGAAGACATGCGCTTGATGTACACAATCCAATTGCAGTGCTTCGATTTCATTAGATAAACAAATTCACTTCTATTGCATTTCGTTTTCTTCAGTCATGGCTAAATGGGAAGCCTGGGCCAGAAGGCGCCGCCCCCCCTACAGTTGTATTTGTGGCACATCACGACGCCTTTGCCGCTGTTCCTGTAAGTTGAGTAACAGATCTCATTCTAGGCCTTTTGGTGCTGTTCTGTCTTTTGCTTTCTCTGGGGCGACAAAACATTTCTCTCGCCGTCGCTCCTTCTGCTTTGCCTTGAAGGAGACCGCGTGTGTTCATGAACGCCATGTACGTGTTGTTGGGCTGACAAAAAATACATGCCTCCTGCTCCGTTTTGTGCAGCATTTCGCTACCGGTATCAGCACCGGCGCCAGCGGACTCATCAGTAAGGGCAGCACACCACCGCTATCTCGTGTTAGTACAGTACAGAAGGGCATGTCTTCTATGTATGTGTACCTGGCATATGAGTAAGTGCATAGATGTATATGTACATGCGCTTTCTCTCTGTATACACTTGGGGGTGTGGCACGTTACTACTGTGCGCTACCTAATTGCATTCTTTTGGCTCTTAGCTGAACTGGTAGCCGCCAACGCTGTAGAGGCGCCCGCAAACGCTTCAGAACCGCGGGCCTTCATTGCAGATAGTTGTATTTTTTAGTTCATTCCCATTGCCGTCCTGTTAGTTCATTGCCACAGCAAGAAAGATGCTTACCGTGAAGGTTCTTCAGTGGGCATGTTGTAACTCTCTGTCTTGTCCTGCATGCAGCTCTCATGTGGCTGGCCCGAGAGCTGAAGAAGATCTACAAACAAGAACCGCTCAACTACAGCGTCGCCTTCGTCTTGGCGGATGCAAGCGCAATGAACTACGAAGGGGTTTTGGAGTGGATAGGGCGCGCAGACCCGAGGTGAGGTGTAGGTGTTAAGCAGCCAAACAAACAACCACATGCAGCAGCTTCTCAGCCTAGTGCAGAGAGACTGTTGCATTAAACTGAGTAGCTATGCCCGTACGCGCGCTCTTGCTGTTCTTTTCCCTTGCCACTGCAAGAGAATTGCAATCGCGCGCGTGCATGGCATTCAGTTTCAGGGTTTTTTGGGGTCGACAACTTCTAGTGTTCCTCTTGATGTGGAGACCAAAGTGTGTAAGTGAAGCTCCTCTGTTTTATATGTGTCCGGCTCGTCATGCGCAATTTCAGGCTGCTGAATGCCACGCGGTACGTTTTGTGCTTGGACAATGTAGCGTCCACCTCGCTGAGTCTACACACTCCGAAAGCCTACAAAGACCCAGAAGCTGCTCGTTTCCTCCAGGTTCGTCTGAGAAGTGAACACTGAACACTGAACTGTGGGAGCTGTCTCAGGCGTAGTGCTTGCCGTGCGACTTGTTCTGAATGTATTACATTTGTTGCAAGCGGAATGTTTGGAATACACTGCAGACACTGGAGAATGCGATGAAGGAGGAAGGGGTTCAGCTGACTACCCGCACGAAAAAAATCGCTGCAGGGGAGAAGGTGTTGTCGTTCTGGCCCCACGAGCACTTCACAAGAGCGAAGCTCATTGCAGGGACTCTTTCAGCGGAAGCTGAACTCAAACACCTCTGGAATCGAAGCTCTCTGACGGATGACAGGTGAATGCAACTAATGATGATGCGAGCCATCACGGGTATTTCGGACAATATCATCCGATGCTACTCCACGCTTTTTATTCACGCGTTTTTTTATTAAATAGAAAATATATTCTATAGGATCGAAGGAAAACCTTGCAACTTACCTTACCTTACTTACGAAAAAAGGACGTTTTCCAAGAAGTTTTCGCAATATGGAGGATAGTTGCGGGGGATGCTGTGAAACACGCTCTGCGTCTGTTCATCTTCTTGTGTTTGGTTTTGTGTTGTGTGGTTTTGTTTTGGTTTTTCTGTTTGCCGCTGTATTGTATCGTGACAGCCTGAGTAAAGACGCGCTTGTGAAGACCGTACGCGGCCTTGCAGAAGGCACTGCGCGGTTCTTGGCGAACTCGAGAGACCAGAATACTCGCTTGACATTCAAAGGAGGCGAAGAGGAATTGGAGGTCTTCATCAGCTCATGGGTTCAGTTCTGTAACAAAACCCCCAGGCAAGCGGATGCTGCTGGCACGGCCATAGTCGCCCACACGCCCACGACGCAGTCATTTACACCTGCGGGAGCACCGACTCGCTATGTTGTTGTTGTAAATGGGTTCAAGGGTATACATCAAAGGCCGTGCATGCAGTTGCGTCGCTCCATGCATGCATATGATGCTCTCATGCTAAAGACGGCTTCTTCCGTTCTCAGTTGCACCTATTATCGTCCGTGTGCCGAATCTTCAGAAATAGTCCCATATATCTTTCGATCTAAAATGTGTCCAGGAACTTGAGTGTTGTTGGGCAGCAGCATACTTTTCCTGACGCATGATTACCACTGCACACCACCGCTAGCGGTGGCATCCAGCTAGCTGTGCAGCTAGCTAGGGAACCAGCAGTATCCGAATTTTCCACATGCGCATCTTAAATATCTCCAACGATTTTTCTGCTGGCTGGTTATTCTGCAGGTTCTTCGCCTACAGAAACGTTGCAGATTACATGGGCTCTTCCTTTGCAAACCGCGTGTTTTTGAAATCTTTGGCGGATGAGATGGAGAACGCTGGACTGACCACTGAGATGCATGAATTCGACGTAGACATGGGAGGCTTTTCTTTCTCTTATGTACGGCGACCACCTATCACCTCCCCTTCGTTTGTTCTGTGGTTGCATGTTGATGCGAATGCCATAAGAAACCCTTGAGACAGCAGCCGCTTTCTTCTGTGCCGAATGCCATGTGCACATGCGAGTGAATTTCTTTTAGTTGTTGGCTGCGTCTACGCCGTTTATCTCCACTCTTATATTGTACATGCGAATGGTTTGCCAAGCACAACGGATGCTGACACTGTCCTCCATGTATAATATTTATATGTGTATTTTATGTATACTATATATATGCATTTATTTAAATGCGTATCCACGTGGCTTGGCTCTCTTTCTGCTCGCAGGAGCCCCCAGTAACCCTTGAAATAGCGGAGAGCCGCTCCACTTTCTTTGACTGGCTTCTTTTGCTTGGGGCTGTCACTTACTCTATTGCTATTTACTTGGCAATTAGGGGCGCCGCGTCTACGAAATTGCTGGAAAGTGAGTTATACAAAAATGTGTGCGTATCTGAGGATAGGTTTGCATTCGCTAGGCAACAACGACAGTGCATACAAGCATGCGTACACGGAGAAGGAGATGAACATAAACTACGTAAACGTCGTGTATACGCTGACGCGGAAGGTCCTGCATCTAATTAACCGTTCTGTTTGTTGTTCTCCGTTTATCTTTCTATTCATCAGGCTCGTCTGTGCCCTGTCACGCCGCCTCTCCTGCGAGCGCCCGGACTTCTCATGCTCACGAGGGGAAGTCGAAGCTCTAGAAGTGCATTTGAATGAAGTTGTCGAATGTTTGCAACCGTGACAAGAGTATTCTGATCAACGTGTTGCAATATATTTGATGAAAGGGCTTCATCTGCATCCGAACCAGTCGAACAGCACAGGGGGGGAAAAGAATGGAGAGCGTCTGAGCCGGGATATGTGAACCACGCCGACTTTTGACGCCCTTTTCCCCTTTGCTGGCTCCGTGTTTGTGGCCAAAGTCTGTGAACACGCCACGTAAATAAGGCATCTTCAGTCTGCATTTATGTCTTGGCATCTTTTCCTACCCCACTTCGTTTCCCTTCGCCCTCAACGCTCTTCTCCCTCCCCCTTACTCAGTTTTGTTGGCGTGGAGCCGTTAAGCGCTCTTTGCCGAAACGACTGGCATACCGGTGGCGCCTGTAGATTGCAAGAAGTGCACCGGAGCAATGCTGCTTCTGAGATAAAAGCAGATACCACAGCTAGAGTGGGGTACTGCAGGGAACGAACGTACCGTTTTCCTTGTAACTGCAATATATTGTATTTATCAGTCCAGCGGTCTTTAGAGAGGCGTCTGCAGCTCCCTCTGTGGGTTTTACCTCTACCGGTCTTCTGTGACATATGCATCAGCCAGCTGTGTTCTTACAGCGCTAGAGAGGCGTTAGTAATGTTAAGTTGCATAAGTTGTACCGTAAAACCCTAAACAATACATCTTGTTCAAATTCAGAATAAGCCGGAGGTTAACAAGTTTTCGCAAAATTGCCTACTACAGAGGGTAGAGACTCTTGATAGGGAGACAAAGTGAAATAAACTACAGCAAAAGACAGGACATGGGTATGCAAACAGAGACAAAGAGACGGAGAGATAGCTACACCGCAACGTTTGTACAGAACCAGAAGAGCGCTCGCAGCAGCTTTTGTTCAGTGGGTTCGCTGCCTGCGACTGTTCTTTTCCTTGCGGAGTGTTGGCGGTCTTTCTGCAGACTTTCTTCGTTGTAGTAGTCCGGTCAGGGTAAAAATATATATTCTTTGAAGGGGACTATTTCCGATTTGTTATTTGCAATTGGTGATACGAGCGATATGAAGTGCTCTAACTAAAAAGCAATCTTTTTTCGAGTTCTTTTCCTGTATGTGTCTGATTAAAGAAAGTGTTGCAGAGAAAAAATGTCATTATTCAGAAGCGGCAGTAATTCTTCTTTTTCTACCTTGTATTACTACTATCCCTAGACTGCTGCTGCTGCTGCCACTAGACTGCTGCTTTTACTCTTTTTCTTTGGTGGTGGAGTTGAACACAGAGCGAACTCGTAACGTAGACGCTGAGTCCTGAATACCTGAAATCTCTAAAACCCTAGCCACGAACATTAGCCTGACAGGCTAGCGCCAAAACTCTAAACCCCAAACCCTAAACCCCAGTTATACCCTCTGGCAAGTCCTAGAGGGACGTTGCGCAGAGGCAACGACAAGAAAAGCATCACGAGGAGTTGCAGGACACCGAGACCCACAGGCAGACAGTCGAAGGCAACAGCAGCAGCAGCTGCTTCCAAAGCAGATTCTGCTGCTAGAAGCCCTAGATAGCGGCTGCAGCTGCATCAAGAGGAACAACTTGTGCTGCCTCTCTGACAGAACGAGAATCAGTATCAGCAGCAGCTCTGGTGTGTACTGCTGCAGCAGCAGCAGCTGCGGCTGCAGCTGCCACAGCACCCTTATCTTCACTGGCAGTGCACATGGCCTCCTGTGCAGCTCTTGCTGCACGCATGCAAAGTGCAGCAGGGCCCCATGTGGGTCTTAGTTGGCGTGGCATTCAAGGGTTGAGAGGATTGACTCGAGTTTTGCTTGCGTGTCTAGTGCTGCTCCTTTGCCTCTGTTACCCCCCCTCCCTCCTTTACTTTTGCCAGTAGCAGCCCTTGGGTGCTTCGCTGCTGCTTTCTCTAGCAACGCCTGACGCAGCTCGTCTCCTCCGTGAAGGATAGTACTAACTGAGGCGAACGCCATAACCCCAATTGTGTTATAATTCTCTAAAGCCTCCATGATGTCTATTTCCTCCTCTTCGGGGGCCTGGGGGCCCCCGGGGGCCCCCAGACCCGCGTCGCAGCTCTCGTCATCAATTGCAATAGCTTCTGCGGTGTATGGACAGCTCGTGCTGCTCGCCTCTTCTGCATCAACGATCTCAACAAAGCAAGAAGATGATGGGGAAGTAGCAGCACCAGTTAGAGACTGCTGATGCTGCTTCCTGCAACTTGCTGCTAAGCTGCTGACAGCCAACGCAGTGAGCCGTTGAGAGAGCAGCACTGCCCTCTGGGGCCCCTCAGCTGCTTTTTGCATGCGTTTGCGGGTGGCGAGCCGCTGCTGCAGCGCAAGAGACTGAAGACGTCTGCGCTGCAGCACAGCAGCAGCAGAGCCGCTGTCTAGATATTGCAACGCCTCCGGAAGGTCTCCGTGCTGCAGCAGGGCCACTGCCCCCAGCGTGAGCTCCCCTACCAGCTCGCATGCTGTAGATGCAGCAGCAGGAGAGGAGACAGGGGCCAGACACATCGGCGCCATCTTCCCAACAGCAGCAGCAAGTGTGCATGCATCTACCCGGCAGGAAGAGGGGCCCCCAGAGTCTCCTCCTCCTCTCTCTGTCTTTGTCTCAACCCCTAAAACGCAAGCTGCTTCGTCGCCTGCGTCTGCTAGGGGTCCCTTAGCCATGTCTTCCCACTTAAGCATCTTTGCTGCTGAGAGATAGGCCCTTAAAATGAAGTGTATGTTCCTTCGCATGCACTGTCTCCTCATCTCCTCTGTCTGCTCAGCAGCAGCAGCGGCAGTAGCACCAGTAGTAGTAGCAGCAGAAGCAGCAGCGCCGCCATCCGAAGACAGGGCCCCCAGGGGCCCCTCGCGCCAGGCTACGAGTTTACAGAACAGCAAATCAATTGCATGCAAAGGAGCCACTAAGATGTCTTGTGTCTGGGTGTTGAGGAAAGACAGCAGCTGCAGCTGCTGCCCTTTGCTGCCGCGCTGCAGCCGCCATGCCGGCAGCAACGGGGCCTCAGCGAGGCCCCACGGTAGCTCCAGAGGCTTCTCTAAGGGAGGAATCACAAAGTGCTGCAGCAGCAACTCCTGCTGCTGCCACCGCTGCTGCCGCTCAGCTAAAGTCTCAACCCAAGGCGGCTCTTCGTACGGCAGCAAGATGCCTCCTGTTTCTGCTGCTGCTGCTGCGGCTGTTACAGGCACCTCTGCTGCTGCTGCTGCTTCTGATTTTCCTGCTGCGGACAGCTTAACATCTCCTTCTGGGGGAGCTTCTCCCCCAGGAGCAGCAGCAGCGCCACCACCATCACCAGCAGCAACAGCTGCTGCTGCTGCATGCAAGTGCCGCAGGTGCGGGTGGGTTCGAAGTACTATGTGCAGACAGTTGAGAGCAGCCCCTAAAGAAGGAGTTTCTTCTTCATTGGGGGGCCCCGTAGCATCCAGCACGAGGCTTACAAAGCGGCGGTCTACCTGCACTAAGAGGGCCCCCCGAAGGATAGCCATTAGCCTGAAGCAGGAGCGAAGACAGCGGAAGCAAACAGCAGTAGCAGTTGCAGCAGCACCAAATGCGCAGCAACAAATCAGCAGCAAACACACCACCACCCCCACTGCTAGCCGCAGCAAATGCACAGCAGCAGCAGCAGCAGCAGCATCAGCAAATGCGCAAAAGCTACAGCAGCAATAGCAGCTGCAGCAGAGACATCAGCTGCACCAGCAATAGCAGCTGCAGCAGCAACAGCAGAACGAAGGAGGCCCTTAACGCTTACCGCTGAATGAACGCCTCCCTAGGCGGTCTTGAGAGCTCTACAAAGGCGACGAGGTTTCTCCCCGTGTCTGCTGCGTCATCTTCGGGTGTATCCGCACATCTGCTGCGCTGCTGCTGCCTTGAAGCAGCAGCAGCAGAGCCACGGGCCCCCCCCTTTCCGGCAGCATCTTTTAAGGCATCTTCTATGAGGCTTTCTGCTGCTGCACGCGCCGAGGCAGCGTCTTCACCCTCTCTCCAGACCGCAATACAGACGTCAGGAGCTGCTGCAGCGGATGCTGCATTTGCTGCAGCAGCTCGTGCTGCAGCAGAAGCAGCAGATACATCGTCGCCTTGAACGGGGGGCCCCCGAACGCCCACCTCCCGCCGGCGCAGCAGCAAACGCTGCAGGTGTTTTTTTGATAGAGACCAGAGGTCATACACACTAAGGCGCACCAGCGGCTGCAGAGGGGCCTCTCCTGCTGCTGCTGTTGCTGCTGCTGTGGGTGCTGCAGCAGCAGCAGCAGCTTCTGTTGCTGCTGGGGTCTTCGGCTCTGCAGCGTGAGACAAGAATGACTGCATAAGGCCCTCAATGTGCGTAGCCTCCCGAAGTGTCTCCTCTTGTGCTGCAGCAAAACGAGAAGCTAAAGCAGCAAGATAAACCAAAGCCTTTCCCCCTGTCTTCGGAGGCATTAGCACTATCAATACACCCGGTGGGGGGTCTGGAGCTTCCTTATCATCATCTCGTAGGGACCCCCCTCGAGTGCGGCGTTTCTTCTTTTCTCGCCCCGCGCAGGTTGCTGCTGCTGCTGCTGATGCTGCTGCTGCTGCTGCGCTGGGAGGCGCTGCAACAGGCTGCCCAGCAGCAGCAGCAGCAGCAGCACAGGAGCGAGCAGCAGCAGATAGCAACGCATGAAGAGCAACAGCAGCATCATCGTGGCCCCCTATCTCCGCAGCTGAGACAGGTCTGAAAGCAACAGGCCACGTCTCTCTCAAGAACAGCAAATCCAACTTATCTCCAATCTGCTGCTGCTGCTGTTGCTGTTGCTGCTGCTGCTGTTGCTGTGGCTGCTGCACAGCACCCCAAGGACACAACCGGTTTTCCTTTCCCCCTTCTGTTTCGTCCTGTTGCATGTGCTCGTGCTGCTGCTCAACTTTCGTCTTAATCTCTTCCTTACGTTGCTGTTGCTGCTGCTGCTCTTGCTGCTGCTGTTGCCGTTGCTGCTGCTGCTGCAGATCAACCTCCATTTCATCTTCTGGGGGCTGTGACCGCAAGTATTCCTCCTGCTGGTCTCGTTCTTGCTGTTGAAGATGTGTGCGCTGGATCTCCGGCTGTTGCTGCTGCAGCTGCAGCTGCCGCTGCTGCAGCAGCTGCTGCCGCTGCTGCAGTACGCCGCTAAGCACCTGGGTGACGAGCGCAGCAAGCGGCTGGCAGCTGCGGGGGTGCACGGGGGAGAACCTTGCTGCAGCAGCTTCAAGCGACAGCCCCAGGGCCTCTAACACTTGGGTTTCGCTTACCATGGCCTCGCCTCCCGCTGCTGCTGCTGTTGCTGCTGTTGCTACTGCTGCTGCTTCTGTGCAGTCAGGAGGAGCTAGACACCCCGTAACCGTGCAGCGGGCCCGCCGCCGACAGCGCGTTGTCAATACACCTGAACAAAACACGCCCAATGCTCTCTCTAGCTCAGCAGCAGCAGCACCAGCAGCAGCATTGACAGCAGCAGAAGCCGCGACAGCAGCAGCCTTTATCGTTCCTACCTGCTGCCTCAACGCTGTTCTTGCTGCAACAACAACTGCAGGAGCAGTAACAGCAGCGCCGGCAACAACAGCAGCAATAACAGCAGCAGCGACAGAAGCACCCTCTACCATTCCTATCCGCTCTGTGCGTGCTGCTGCTGCTGCAGCAACTGCAACAACAGCAGCAGCAACAGCAGGCCGTATATTCCTTACCTGCAGCCTCAATAGCTGAACGAAGAGCAGCTTCGGAGGTGAAGACAAACGGCCCCGAGAGGAAGACAGTGGGAGCAGCTGTGCATACACCCCAACAAGAGGGCTGAGCCTCTGGTACTGCTGCTAGCAACTGCTGCAAACCCTCAATAGAGCCTTTATAAGGAGGCAGCAGCAAACAAGAGAGACGATCAAGCCAGTCACGACTTGCTGCTGCTGCAGCGTGCTGCTCCTGCAGCATGCGGAGACGCTCCTGCTGCTCCTGTTCCTGCTGCTGCTGCTGCCGCTGCTGCCGACGCTGAATCACCTCCTGCTGCTGCGCGGCCCCCAGCTCCCCTTGCGCTCTTGAGGGCCCCCCCCTGAATGTTTTAACGCTGCTGCTGCTGTTGCTGCTTGAAGGCGAGCGGGTAGAAGTTGCTGCAGCCTTCCCCTTCCTCTCCCGCGGAGAAGCTCGCGGACCTGCTGCTGCTGCTGTTGCTGCTGCTGCTGCTGCTTTGCGGGGCCCCCCAAAAATGTGACTCCAGGGGCCTGTAAGCCCTTTTACTTCTCCTTCCATGTGTCTTTGGTGCTGCTGCTGCTTCTGTTGCTGCTGCTGCTGCTTCTGCTGCTGCTGCTGCTGCTGCTTTTGCTGCTGCTGCTGCTGCCCGTCGTCGTCCACATCGATCGTCTCAACACTCACAACATCGTCCATAGGAGGGGGTCTCTTATGCTGTTGCGTGTCTTCCCCCCCATCCTCCTCCTCCTCCTCAGCAGCAGCAGCAGCAGCAGGAGCAGCAGCAGCAGCAGTGGAATTCCTGCGCTGCATTAGCCTGCGGCTCCTCTTGAGGCCGGGACCCTTTGGCTCCCCCTCTGCTGCAGCAGCAGATGCATCATCGCGGTTGCTGCTTTGCGCAGCAGCAGCAGCAGCAGCAGCAGCAAGTTGAGACATGCGGCTTTTCCTCTTGGTTCTGGGAGGGGTTGCTATCACGGGCTCACATGCATCTGAAACTACGATTCCCTCTTCCTGCTGCTGCTGCTGCTGCTGCTGTTGCTGCTGTTGCTGCTGCTGTTGCTGCAGCCTGGTGCGTCTCCTCGTTTGCTTTTTTGGGGAGGGGGGCGGCGGGCATGAGGGGAAGAAATGATGAAGTGCGCGCTGCTGCAGCTGCTGCACCTTTGCTGCTGTTGCTGTTGCTGCTGTTGCAGTTGTTGCTGCTGCTGCTGCTGCTGCTGCCTGCCGCCGATTCCCCTGCGTTCCATCATTGCTGAGACTCGCATCCTCTGATGTTTCTTTTTGTTGTTCTCCTGCGGCTGCCTCTGCTGCTGCTTCTGCTGCTTCAGCCTCTGGTGCTGCTGCTGCTTCTGCCTCTGGTGCTGCTGTTGCCGCGTCGGGTGCTGCTGTTTCTGCTGACTCTGGTGGTGTTGGTGCTGCTGCTGCTACCTCTGGCGCTGCTGCTGCTGCTCCCTTTGGAGCTGCTGCTGCTGCTGCTGCTGCTGCTGCTAGAGGCTTGGGGCTCCCAACCTCCTCCTGTGCAAATAGGGTTTCAGCAGCATGAGGCGAATGCTCTCCATCATGTGCTGTCGTTGTTGTGGTTGTGGTTGTTGTTGTTGTTGCTGCTGCTGCTTCTGCTGTTGCTTCTGTTTCTGCCTCTGCTGCTGCTGTTGCTGCTGCTGCTGCTGTCGCTGCTGGAGACGCTTCAGCCCCCGTACTGGTCATTATCCTCTCACGGTTATATGGAAACCAAGTCCCTGCTGCTGCTGCTGCAGCTGCTGCTGCTAGAGTGAAGATACGTTTTATGAGAGAGCTAGGGGGTGCCGGGCAGCAGCAAAGCAGAGGATGCAGCAACAGCTACAGCAGCAGCTGCAGCAGCAGCTGCAGTCTGTGGCTCGTGCTGCTGCACTGTGCGCATACAGTGCAGGAGCAGCGGAACGGAGCTGCCAGTCACTTCATTGCTTCCTCCTGCTGCTGCTGTTCCTGCTGCTGCTGTTCCTTCTGCTGCTGTTGATGCTGCTGCTGTTGATGCTGCTGCTGTTGCTCCTGCTGCTGCTGCTCCTTCTGTTGCTGTTTCTGCTGTTGTTGTTTGCGGCTGTTGCTGTTGCCGTTGCTGTTGCTACTGCCGTTGGTGCTGATGTTACTGCTGCTGCTGCTGCTGCTGAGTTTGTGTCGCAAGACTAGAAGAGTTACAGCCGTCTCCCTCAGTCTAGCTGCTGTTGCTGCTGCTGCAGCAGCGCCAGCTAATCAGCAGCAGCAGCAGCGGGCGGGGGCCCCACGGCGGCGTTAGGCCTTGTGTGTGGTCTCTGAGACCTTCTATGCTGCTGTTGCTGTTGCTTCTGTCTCTCCTATAAGCATCAGCGCAAACCCTAAACCCTAAACCCTAAACCCTAAACTCTGCTGCAGCTGTCTCTGCATATGCTGGGGGGTAGCACCCGGAGAAGGTAAGAGAGGCGGGAAGAAGCAAAAGAGAAGGAGAAAATGAATTAAAAAGACATAAATAAAGAGCAGCAACAAGAGATAAAGAGAGACAAACAGCAGCAGCATGCGGGTGGGGTTGTACAACACCGCCTCCAGCGCATGCAGAGGGAAGGACGACGAATATCTACTTTTCTTTGTTTTGTTTTTAATTAATTAACTTGTTTTTTATATTTTAACCCTTCTTCACTTGCTGCTGCTGTTGCTGCTGCTGCAGCGCAACTTCTGCTTTTCTTGCTCCAGCAGCATAGCCGCTACTTTGCTGCTGCTGCAGCTGCTGATCCTGCTGCTGCTAATTGAGGGTTTGCTGCTGCTCTTCCCGCTGCTGCTCCTTCTGCTGCGCTTCCTTCTGCTGCTGCTGCGCCTACTGCTACTGCTGCTGCTGTTGGCTTGACCATCATTTCTCTGGCAGCAGCAGCTGCTGCGAGTTTGCGACGCTGCAGGATTTGCTGCTGCTGCTGCTGTGCTGCCGTATAGTTAGCTGCTATAGCTGCTGGGGAAGCGAATGAATTCAACAGCAGCAAATTGTACGGTAGCTGCTGTTATGTTTTGCTGCAGCTTCAATTTGCTGCTGCAGCCAAGGATGTTGTATAGAGAGAGTAGTTGTGTGCAGCTGTCTCTCTCTCTCTCTCTGTCTCTCTCTCTCTCTCTTCTGTCTTCTCTCTCGCATGTCTCTGTCTACTAATTTTTATAATTATATTATTACTACAATTAATAACAGACAAAAACCACAGAGCAGTACAAGTATTCACGCAATTCAATATGTATACAATATATATATATATATATATATGCATATATATATATATATGCATATGTATATATACATATGTACGTATATATATATATATATATATGTATATATGTAGAGTTCATCTATAAATTTGTTTTAATAAAATAGTATTGTGTATTTGTAAGTATTTGTTATGATATCTACTTGTATAGAAACTGGCGTCGTCTTACTACGGTAGTTAATATAATAAAAATATTATTTATTTTGTCTGCTTTTATTAATCTGCTCGTCTCTAATATTCATTAACTCATCTATTCATATTGTTTTGCTGGCTAGTTGTTTGCAGCAAAGCTGCTGCTGCTCCTACTGCTACTGCTACTGCTGCTGCTGCTGCTGCTAGCTGTGCATGTAAGCGGTCAAACTTTTTTGTCTTTGTTTCTGCTATATAAAATCAAAGAGCAGAAAAAAAGGAGAGGAAGAGCCTCGTGTCTCTCCAGCCCCTTAAACAGGGAACAATGACAACTATTACAGCAGCAGCAGCAGCAGCAACTGCAGCAGCAACCGCAGCAGCAGCAATAGCAGCACAAAAAGATAATCACGCCAATAGAGGCGAGCTAAAGCCCTTCTCATCTTGCAATTTACAAGAACAGTCACGGGGCTGCTGCTGCTGCTGCTGCAGCTGCTGCAGCAGCTGGGACCACAGCTACCACAATTGCGACAGCACTGCTGCTGTTGCTGCAGCAGCTGTTGCGGGTATGTCTGCTGCTGCAGATGCATGCACCTCAAGGGGGGAGAGTGTCTCTTTTGTTTGTTTTGCCTTTTAATGCTTCCCTCAGGAACATCTCAATGGCTTAGACAAACAACAAACCAAACGGAGAGATATACAGCCGTTGCTGCTGCTGCTGCTCCTGCTGCTGCTGCAGGTGCTGCTGCTGCTGCGTCTGCAGGTGCTGCAGTAGCAGCTGCAAATGAGAAGCGGCGTGTTGCGTCTGGCTTCGCAGCAGCAGCATGGTGAGGCGGTGGTGCTGCTGCACTTGCTGCTGCTGCTGCAGCTGCAGCTGCCGTTGCTGCTGCACGTGCAGCAGCAGCACCAGCCGATGCAGCAGCAGTTAGTTAATCCCTTTCGTTATAACTCGTGTCTTCTTTTTTGTTTGTATTTTCCCTCTTAATAAGAAGCAGCTGCATGGCTGTATGCAGCAGCAACGCCGTGAAGAGAAGGCTCCGCCGTACCTGCTGCTGCTGGAAGCCCTGCTGCTGTATGTGCAGCAGCTGCATTTGCTGCTTGTGGAGATGTTGCTGCTGCAGATAGTGCAGCAACAGCAGCACCAGAATCATCCGCTGCTGCTGTGCTGCTGCTACACCCCAGCATCAGCAGCATCACCCCCTGTTGCTGCTGCACGATCCTCAGTAGCATCATCCCTTGCTGCTGCTGCACGATCCTCAGCAGCAGCATCACCCCTACTGGTACAGCAGCAGCAGCAGGACAACCACCACCCCTGCTGGTACAGCAGCAGCATCATGATGATCCCCTGCTGCAGCAGCACCACCAGCCCTGCTGCAACAGCAGCAGCAGCATCATGTTCCCCTGCTGCAACAGCAGCAGCAGCAACAGCAGCAGGAGAAGAGTTGAGCAGTTTAAAGATCTGGATTAAGCCACCGTGAATCTGGAGAAAACATAAACGCAGTAACGCGGACGAGCTGACCGGCTGCCCATACACCTTCTAACTGATGACCGGTAGCAAATCTTAGCGTTCCATTTCCTTCTTTTCTTCCTTGAACAAATTCTCCTTCATAACAGCTTCCATCTTCAGCACAATAGAATGTTCCTAGGCCTACTCTTTTATCATCTACCCACTGACCTTCATACTTATTTCCGTTTGCATATTGAAACACTCCGAAGCCACATGCTCTATCATCAACCCATTCACCTTTAAATCTATCTCCGTTTGAATATATTAATTCTCCTTCACCGTGTTTCTTTGCATCTACCCACTCACCAACATATTTATCTCCTCTTGAATATGTTAGAGTGCCTTTTCCATGCACTTTATCTGCTTTCCAGTACCCTTCATATTTTTCACCGTTATGATATGTCAATACACCGTATCCTTCTTTCATATCATTAACCCACTCTCCATCATATTGATTTCCATTAGGAAATATATATTTACCTTTACCGTGCATCTTACCGTCTACCCAATCTCCTTCATATTCTCCTCCATCAGAATAAGTATATTTCCCATGTCCATGCATCTTACCATTGACCCAGTCTCCATCATACTTCTCAATAACACCTCCTTTAGCACCGACATATACAACAACACCTTTACCATGTCTCTTATCATCTCGCCATTCTCCTGTATATACATCTCCTTCTTTATATCTATATGTACCCCTTCCATGCATCTTACCGTCTACCCACTCTCCTTCATATTCATCTCCATTTGCATACTTTAATTTACCGTATCCTGATATCTTTCCTGTATCCCATTGACCTTCATATACATTACCACTTGCAAATACAGCTACACCTTGACCATGGATCTTATCTTCTACCCATTTACCTTGATATGTTGCTCCATCTGCATACTCAAAACGTCCGTTACCTTCTCTCTTCCCAAATACAAAATCTCCTTCATACTTCTCATTTCCTGAATATAATAATGTACCGTGCCCGTGAAATAAACCATCCTTTATCTGGCCATGATATGCGTGGCAACTCTCCACCATCTTCAATCTCTTTATCTAATTATATACTTCAATTTAAATATATATATATATATATATGTATATATATATGTATATATGTATGTATGTGTATGTATGTATATATATATGTATATATATCAGCAAAAAATACTCTATAGATTGACTACAACAGTAGAATACATATAATATATATACATATATTGTATGTATATTATATGTATATTATATATTATATGTACTCTGCATATATATATATAATAACTTATATCAATATAATATACAACATACACTCAATGCTACAAGCTAGAGGATTATCGAAGTATACAACAGCAGAATAATACTAAAAAGAAATAATAAAGAATTCCTAGGAATAAGAGAAGCAGAGCGAGAAGGCTGGGTAATAAACAAAACAAGAAAAATCAAGACAACACCGCTCACACACTCAACTACCTCTCCCCCTCTTTCAGAGAAGCATAAAGCCAAACAAACACAAAAAATATAAACAACAAAGATGTAAGATCAATACAATCAGGAAAAAGAATAATTCCTTATCTAAGACAACAATATCTTCTTCTTTACCCCAACTGCGCGAGGGCCGCAGCTGAGACTAAGAAAAAAGCAGCAGCGCTCCCTCCTCGCTGCAGCAGCAGCGCGAATATGTTCTTGAATATTGAATTAAATATTGTCTGAAAAGTATTATTCAAAGAATACATAAGAAGAAAGAAATACAAGAAATACAAAGAAAACGCAGCACACTGTAAACCCCCTTATCAGCAGCCACCAGCTGCTGTTCATACACTGGCGAGCCCCAGAGGGAGAAATAAACGGAAAAAAAGAGTAAATTATCAATAAAATAGATGAAATTTACAATTTTATTTCAATTCATTCAAACTAAACCAATTTTTTCCCCTCAGAAACCTCTACAAGATGTATACAGGGGGTGCGGTGCTGTGAATCAGCCAGAGAGGAGGCCCCTGGTGTATGTACACTGCATGGAGGCTTTATTCTTGAAGGCAGCAGTTTGCATATTTTTATTTATCAACATTTATATTTTAATTACTACTTTTTACTATTATTCCCTAATCAATTGCCCACAAACACACACACACACGCATAAACCCAACAATATTAAATAAACACGCTGCATTTTTCTTAGGTCGGCCTACCCCGTACGCATTTCTATGGTGTATATACACCTTAACTTTCATCTCTTTTATTGTATGAGGAAGAGACCCAATAAAGAAGCACATATATACACTGATAGATACCAGCTGCACAACCCCTTCTTGAAATATAGTAAGAAGCTGCTTACTTCTCGCTTAACAAGCACTTCGTTCCTAGAAAAATAATAAACTCTACACATAATATACTCAAATACGTCGGCTTTAGGCGGTGCTCCCTTTCCTCTATCTTGCTTCCAATAACACTTGCAACTAGTAGCAACTAGCAGCAAACAACCCGCTGCTGTAGAGAGTAGCTGCAGCAGCTGGAGCAACAGCAGCAGCAGCAGCAGAGGCGGCACTTCCCTTTAGTACAGCGGACTGGTGAATAACTGCAGCTAGCTGGTTGCTGCTGATGCAGCAGCTAGCAGTGGGGGAGCTACACTAAATGCTGTACAGGTGCAAGTAGCTGCTGCTCCGCATAATAATATGCTTGTTCAGGGTCAGCTAGCCACACCCTTCTGGTGTCTCCGCAGCAGCTAGCTGCACAGCTAGCCGCAAAGCTAGCTGCACAGCTAGCAGCACGAGCATACGCAGCATTTAAGAAAAAGCAGCGTTTGAATAATTCTTTTATCTCTGCTGCATACGTCGGGTGGGGCTGCTGGCTAGCTGCAGCTCTCCATCAAGCTTGTGAGAGAGAAGCAACTCTGAGAGAGAGAGAGACAGAGACAAATATATATTTGTATGTATTCTTTGTGCTGGTGAAGGCTTCTGTTTTATAAATACGCGGCAGAGACGCCACAACATTAGATGAAGAGACAGAGACAGCTCACGCATGAAGTGCAGCAGCAATCTCTTGTTGCTTCTCTTCGGGAGATTGTATAGGTTGCTGCAGCAGCAAAACGAGAAAGAGACAGAGAGGAGGCTGAGCTGTCTCTGTCTCCTCTCTGTCTCCTTCCCTCAAGTGTCTCCTCTGCATGTTTAATGTCTCTCAGCAAAAGCAAGGGCTTTTATTATTATTATTTTATTTATAAAACCATTTCTTTGTCTCTAATTCCTAAACCCTCTAGGGGGTAATAACGCAACAAAAACATAACAACAAAAGTGCTGTTGCAGGCGTCAATAGGCGTCTCTTGAGGTGTCTCCTCGGCTCTCTGGTGTAGTGTCTCCTGAGGTGTCTCCTCAGTTGTGCTGTACTCTTTAATAGGGTGTCTCCTCAATTCGCTGGTGTGCTGTCTCCTGAGGTGTCTCCTCAGCTGCGGTGTCTCCTCAGCTGCGGTGTACTGTCTGCTGAGCTTACAAGGATTTTTGCTGCAGTGCTGCTGCTACACAGAGAGTAAAGAAAGAGAGGGGTCTGCTTTGTCTCCGACTATATATATATATATATATATATATATATATAGAGAGAGAGAGAGAGAGAGAGACAGCAAAAGAGATAGACTGTTTTAGGAAGAGACACAGATGAAGACAGCCTAGATAAACAAAACACTAAAATGTAAAGAGAAGCAAGCAAACAAAGACAAAGAGAGAGAAAGACAAAATAAACAGAGACAGACAGAGACAAGAAAGACAAAAGGAGACAAAATAAAATTAAAGACAAACTCTTTGCACTAAGACAGCCACATGGAGGGGACGACCCCACAAACCCCATTCCTTCGGAGGGCAGCCAGGCGTCTCCTTCTTGCCTCTGAGTCGAGGGACCCTCCTGGTGTCTGCTGCTGCTGCTGCTGCTGCTGTTGCTGTTGCTGCTGCTGCTGCTGTTGCTGCTGCTGCTGCTGCTGCTGTTGCTGCTGTTGCTGTTGCTGCTGCTGCAGCGGGCATACTGAAGCTAAGCCCGCCACAAGATCCGGTTTCGGGATGCGCACTATTGCTGCTGGTGCTGGTGCTGCTGCTGCTGCTGCAGCAGCAGCAGAACCTGAACAATGCCCTTCTGCTGCAGGCGGTGCTGCAGCTGCAGCCAATCTTGCTGCTCCTTCTGCAGCAAAAGTGGAATTATCAGCAGCAGCTGGTGCAGCAGCAGCGGCTACCGTTGTTGCTGCTGGTATTGCAGCAGCAGCTGCTGCTGGTTGCGGTGGTGCTGCTGGTGCTGCAGCACCAGCAGCAGCAGCAGCAGCAAAAGGCTCGCTAAAGCCTATACAGATATCTGGGGGCTCCGGATCATAGCCGTAAAAGAGTGGAGGGGGAATGCTTGCTGCTTGAGGTGTATGTCTCTGCTGCTTTGCTGCATGCGGTATCTCTGTAGAGAAGCTAGAGGGAGCAGCAGGAGCAGCAGCAGAAGCAGCAGGAGCAGCAGCAAATGCCGCTGCTGCTTCTTCTGCACGCAGCAAACCCGCTGCTGCTGCGTGCGCGCGAGCGCTACGCGGCCTGTCTTTCTCACTCGCGTTGCCCCCTGCGGATGCAGCAGCAGCAGCAGCAGCGGGAGCAGCAGCAGCAGCAGCAGCAGGAGGCGAAGGCTGCTGCAACAGAGCATCGACAGTCTTCGGGTAAGGATAGGGACAGAAGGAGACAGAAGAACTGACAGGGCTTGGTTTTTGCTGCCACCCAGAAGACCCTGGTTCTGTTGTTGTTTCTGCTGCTGTTGTTGCTGCTGCTTTTGCTGCTGTTGTTGCTGCTTTTGCTGCTGTTGCTGTTGCTGCTGCTGCAGGCGCTCCTGCTGTTGCTGTACTGACACGGGAGGGCATGACTTGGCGTTCAACAGCTTTTGACTTGTTCGCCGCTGATGCTGTTGTTGCTGCTGCTGTTGCTGCTGCTGCTGCTGTTGCTGCTGCTGCTGTTGCTGCTGCAGCAGGCAGCGGCTGCGGCGCTGTCTTAGGAACGCAAATGCGAATAACAAAAGGCAAACTCTCACAGAGGAAGTCGTGAGCAGCAGGACCGGGGCTGAAAACACAGCAGCAGCAGAAGCAGCAGCAGCAGCAGCAGCAACAGCAGCAGCAGCAACAGCAGCAGAAATAAGCAGTAGTAGCAGCAGTAGCAGCAGCAGTAGCATTACCAGCAGTTGCAGCAGCAGTACTAAGCACTAAGCAGCAGCAACACGATAGAAGGTACACCGGAACAGCAGGTGCAGCAGCAAGAATGTCTTAAGCAAAAAGAAGAGAAGTGCAGCAGAGACAGAAGAAATAAAAGAAAAAACAAAAAGAGACAAATCAGATAGGGAGGAGACAAAGAAGGAGACAGAGACAGACGGAGACAAACAGAGACAGAGACAGCAAACAAACAAAAAAACAGAGAGATAGAGAGAGACAGATAAACTAACAAATAAAGTTAAAATTAGAGACAGAGACAGGAGAGGGAGATATATATATATATATATATATATATATATATAAAGAGACGGAGAGAGAGAGAGAGAGAGAGAGAGAGAGAGAGAGAGAGAGACAGAGAGAGACAGAGAGACAGAGAGACCGAGAGAGACAGAGAGAGACAGAGAGACAGAGAGAGACAGAGAGAGACAGAGAGACAGAGGCAGAGATAAATAAATAAATACAAATATATATATATATATTATATGCATATAAATAAAAATAAACAAGTAATAAAAAACAAAGAAAGGAGACAGGAGACACACTACAAAACTGTCGACCCGCTGTACTTCCGTCGGCCCTTAACAAATTCCTCCCGCAGCAACGAGCGCCGCAGCATCTCACTGCAGCAGCAGCAGCAGCAGCAGCAGCAGCAGAAGCAAGCAGATGTAACAGCAGCAGTAGCAAGAGCAGTAGCAGACGCAGCAACGCAAGCAGATGCAACAGCAGCAGAAGCAGCAGCAACAGTAGCAATAGCAGTAGAAACGGAAGCACAAGCAGCAACAGCAGCAGCAACGGAAGCAGAAGAAGCAGCAGCATCAGCAGCCACAGCAGCAGCAGCAGCAGCAGCAAAGGCAGGAGCGAGTGAGATACTGCAATACAGCAAAATAAAACAGCAAATGTCTCCAAGGAGACAAATGAAGAAACAAAAGCAGAGACAAAAGAACAAAAGGAGACAAATAACAAACAAGGAGACAGATAATAAAGAAGGAGACAGATAATAAAAGGAGACAGGTAAAAGAAGCAGACAGAAAAACGAAGGAGACAGACAAACGAAGGAGACAGATGAAAGAAGGAGACAGATAAACGAAGGAGACAGATAATAAACAAGGAGACAGATAATAAGGCAGGAGACAGATAAACAAAGGAGACAGAGAAAGAAGGAGACAGATAATAAAGAAGAGACAGACAATAAAGAAGGAGACAGATAAAAAAGAAGAGACAGAAAGCAAAAAAGGAGACTCACGATATTATGGCGTCAACGCGGTCCGCGCTAAGGTCGCGAAGGGCCCCATAACAACTCACGTCGCTCGCCCTGAGCAGCAGCAGCAGCAGCAGCAGCAGCAGCAGCAGCAGCAGCAGCAGCAGCAGCAGCAGCAGCAACAGCAGCAGCAGTCATAAAGCCTTCTTCTTGCTGCTTTTTTCGTCTCCTCACTGAATTAAATACAACTTAGTTAATACTTGCAGCAGCATCAGCAGCAGCAGCAACAGTAGCTGCAGCAGCAACAACTGCAGCTACGACCGTAGGACTTGAATTAAAGCACAGGATACAAACAGCAGATAAAGGCAGCAGCAGCAGCAGCCTGAGCGTAAAGCAGCAGCCCAACGGCAGCAGCAGCAACAACAACAGCAGCAGCAGCAACAACGACAGCAGCATGATCAGCAGCAGCAGCAGCAGATTACCCCCTGTCTAAGACGGCTTTGGCGTTAGCGCTGCGGGCTGCAAGGCGAAGGAGACGGCGGGTGAGGGGCTTCGGTTTGCTGCTGCCTGCTGCTGCTGCTGCTTCATGTGCATGCAGCAGCAGCAGCAACACCCTTGCTGGTTCTGCTGCATTTATTTCCTGAGCGCAGCAGGAGAGGAAGACGGAGACAGCAGAAGAGACAGCAATAGAGAGTAGAGATAACCCTTTAAAGCAGCAGAAGCAGCAGCAGCAGCAGCAACAACAACAACAACAACAACAACAACAACAACAACAACAACAACAACAACAACAACAACAACAACAAC